GTAACAAATCCAAAAAATTCCATTTGGGGGCTGGAGCAATAGCACAGTGGGTAGGGCGTTTGCCTTGCACGCGTCTGACGCGGGTTCGATTCCCAGCACCCCATATGGTCTCCCGAGCACCGCCAGGAGTAATTCCTGAGTGCAGAGCCAGGAGTAACCCCTGAGCATTGCTGGGTGTGACCCGAAAAGCAAAAAAAAAAAATCCATTTGCCAGTTAGTAGCAAAAGAATGAGTGAGGCCTGGGAGCTGGCAGGGGCGGAGCATGTGCCTCTTGTGTGGGAGGCTGGGGCTCAGTCCCCAGCATTGCAAAATACATTTAAGCAGGAAGTACAAAATGTGTGCAGGGGAAATAGGTTTGGTACTTGTTAAATTTACGAAGTATTCTGTTCGGGAGGAGCGGCTTGTGGTGATGTTCAGGAGTTACTCCTGATGGTGCTCAGGGAACCATGTGGCTTATTGGGAATCAAACCCTGGTTGACTGCGTGCAAGGCGACCACCCCACCTGCTGCGTTCTCTCTCTGACCCAAGTGTATATTCTGGAAAAAAAATCTAAAGTGAAAAGACATCTAGTACTCGTGAAGTAGAAGCTACCACAATCACACGGCCATGTTCCTGAGTAATCTGCAGACTTCACCGTCCCGATCAACTTTCCAGTGGATGTTTTTGCAGAAACGGGAGGTTCTTCCCTACTGGCACCACTGTGATGCTCGGGGCTTATTTCTGGCTCTGCACTCAGGGATTGTGCCCCGGAAATGGGAGGTTTCTGAGGTGCAGACTTGCGAAGGACTGTAGTCTGACATCTTTAATCTTGATATGGAGCAAAGTGAGGAACTACTACTTCCTGTGTCAAAATTTTCTTCAAGACGTCATAGGGCCAGAGAGACAGCACAACAGCTAGGACACTTGTCTTCCACTTGCAGCTGACCTGGGCTCCATCCCCGGCACCACAGTGTCCACCAAGCACTGCCAGGAGTGACCCCTGAGCAATGCTGGGTGTGGTGGCCCCAAACCAAGTAATAAAAAGAGCATCCAGTAGCATATGCAGGAACACTTGGGTGGAATAGTGGATGATCTTGTGAAGAAGAACCACTCTGGATGCCCGTCTCGTCTCATACACAGATCAGAGTGGGCCAACCTCGAAATGGACGATCGAAACACGACAGCTTTCAGAAGGAAGCAGAGCACATTCTCCTAACCTTGGACTTGGCATTTAATTCCTAGATACACCCAATGTCTTTCATGTAGTAATAATAAAAGACAAATCGTACTTGATCAAAATTATAAATTTCTGTCAAAGGACTCCAGTGAAAAAAATCACAACGTGGGAGAAGTATTTGCGAATCATCTGCCTGGCAAGGGGTCAAGAATCTTTAAACTCGACAATAGACAAGTAGCAACAGTTTAAAAGTGAACAAAGGGTTTGAACAGCATTTCTCCCAAATACAGATGCCCAAGAGTGGGGCAGGGTGGGCAGGAGGTTCTAAAGTCCAGAGCATGTGCTTTGCATGTGAAAGACCCGGCTTCATGCCTGACACTGCATGGACCCCCAGAACCATGGGGCAAACCCCTCTGTCCCCACACCCCCAATGAAAGGTAAGATGTACAGGTGGCCAGCAGGTGAGGAAGATGCCCAGGGCCATTAGTCAGGAAAGAAAGATAAAGCGTAGGCAAGACAAGGCACCACCTCACACCCTCCAGGAAGACTCTGGAATCCGAAAGGGCAGTAGATGCTCAGATGTGGGGTGTGGACTCCCTGAGTGCCTGAGGGAGGGAGACAGGGCCGTCAGTGGCCCAGTGTGGGAAGGCCAGGGTGATGTGCAGGGGTGGAGCATGGGCCTGGCACCCGTGGGACCCCAGTCGGCCTCCTGAGCACAGTCTGACATGGCCTTGGTGGCCCCAAGGACCGCTGGGAGATTTAAAAAAAATGAAATGACCCCTATTTGGGCTGGCGAGAAGACTCAGTGAGGCAGGGGTGCCAGCAGTGAGGTGCGAGCCGGGTCCTACCCTGTGTCCATTTGGAGAGAGAATGCAACGGGTGGGGTGCTTGCTGACACCCCACTGACCTGGGCTCCCCCCCTCCCCATCTAGGCCCCAAGCCTGTCAGGAGTGATCGCTGAGCCAGGAGTAACCCCAAGCAAAGCTGGGTGTGGCCAAAAGCTTCCCCCCATCCCCCCCAAAAAGGAACAAACCAATAAAATGACTCAGCTGAAAACTAACCAAAAACTATTCACCGAATTATTATGTTTTTAAGCTTAGGGCCACACCTGGCGGATCCTGGGGGCCACGTTCAGCGTTCAGCTCTGTGCGTGAGGGGCCCTCGTGGCAGTACTCCGGGGCCCCCCACAGTGCCAGGATTGTCTGCTTGGCCCCCAGCCAGCTCTCTGGCCCCCAGGGAATTGCAGGAGGAAGAGCGGCAGCTCAGAGGGCTGGAGCACGCGTCTCACGTGGGAGAGGCCCAGGTTCGGTCCCTGGGACCACATGGTCCCTTGCGCATCTCTGGGACGGACAACGTATCAATGGCGGGTTGCACCTGAGCACTGTGGTGTCAGAACAAACCAGAGAAGAATAACCGAAGTTGATGTGTGACCCGTCAGTAGCCTGCTGCCAAGAGCACCGCCTGGACCGTCACTGTGTGTCCCTGCGCCCATGCTGTCCGCCTGCCGCACCCCTTCCCTCCACATCCATGAGCTACCCCTGGTGACCTCAGGCACATCCTGACACTGGGCGAGTGTCCACGGGCCAGCACCTCCGCCTGTGAGCTCGAGGTCTCGCTAGGGTACACTGAGAGCAGCAGCCCCTCAGGACCTATGCATGTGTGTGCGTGTGCGTGTGTCTGTGTATGTGTGTGCATGTGCATGCCTGTGTGCATGTGCGTGTGTGCATGTGTGTACGTGTGCGTGCATGTGCATGTGTGTGCATGCGTGTATGCTCATGTGTCTGTGTGTGTGTGTGTAGCTGCTGTGGCCCAGCGTGGCTCCAGGACCTGAGAAACCATGACCAGGAAGCCCCAGGACCGCGGGCAAGTACTGAGGTCCCCTGTGCTCCTCAGTGTCTGAGAGGGGTGGCGTCTTCCCCAGCCCCCGGGGGAAACGGCTGGGGAGCAGTATTAGTGCGAGAGGCTCCCGGCACTGTATGTTTGCCCGGTGGGGGTGCGTCACCGAGGACGGCTGCGGGCTTCCTGCCCCAAGCACACCGTTCCTCCACCTGAGTCTGTCAAGGGGCTGTGACGGGGCCTCTGCCCCCAGGAGGGATGGGCACTCACGGAGGGGGAGGACTTCCGCCTGTGCCCAGAGTGGGGAGAATGAGTCAGCGAGACGTGACCAAAAGGTCTGGGCGGGTGGGAGGACTTTATCTGGCCAGGCTGCCAGGCTGGCACAAGGCCCCTTCCAAGGACAACAGACACCCATACAGCAAAAGTTCAGAGGCAGCCTGTGAGAGCCTTGGGCCCTGGGTCCCTGCCAGGACACAGCTGGGGACCCCGCCCTGCCCCCATGCCTGATCCATGGCACCAGCCCCTGGGCTATGCCCTGGAGCCCACGAGGGCCCCCCCAGCTGGTGCTCTGCGGGGTCTCCCCGTGCTCCCTGCGGTGTGTGGTGGGGGCGCCCTCTGCTCCCCGGGGAGGGGTTCTACTGAGGCCTTTTCTGTGGGGCCCTCAGTGCTCGGTGTGGGGTGCTGTACAGTCCAGCTGGCGTGGCGCAGCCTCTCAGCCTCGGTTCCTGTGGCTCTCTGGACTGGCCTGTGGCTGGACCCAGCGAGCTCGGAGCTCACACAGCACCACCTGTCCCTCCAGCGGGAAGTACCTCGTGTCCCCAAGCATCAGGCCGAGGGGTGTGCCACACGGTAGGGGCAGATGGCAAGTGTGCCGCTCCCGGTGCCCACACTCCGCTGCTGGAGTTGGGGGGCACCTTTCACTCACCTGTCTGCACCCTCCTGCTGGACGCGGGTGCACGAGATGACCCTGCTGGCCCGATCCCCACCATCCTCAGGCGCCCAGATCTCCGAGCACAGAGACAGGAGCAACCCCTGGCACAGCCAAATGTGGCCCAAAGCTAAAAAAGTCAATTAGCACCAATGTACAACCCAGCGGGCCCAGCTGTGGGCACTCTCCTGAAGGAAACAAGGCCACCGCCTCCGAGTGTCACTCCCGCCCTGGCCCCTACGGCCCAAGCGTCACTCCTGTCCTGAGCCCACTTGGGCCTGAGTGTCACGGGTCCGAGTGTCACACCCGCCCTGGCCCCCACGGGCCTGTGTAATCTCTTGGGGCTCCTTCCTCCCGCCTCCATCCTCAGGCCAGTCCCTTGCCTGCCCAGTCCTCCTGCCAATATTTTGGATCAAGTGCCTATAAACAGACGTCTGTTACTCGGGGGAGCACTTTCCCATCCAAGCAGAGTAGGGCGCAGAGACGTCTTGGGGCTGCCCAGCGTATGTCTGTGGCCCCCGGACTGTGGGCACCCGGGCTCACAGGTGCGGTGACCAGTCCAGCTGGCGACATGAGCCTGGCTCTCTCCCCTCGGTGCACAGGGGAAGGAGGCGGGGGCTGCGGCCCTTCTGCTCCAGCCCTCGCCGGGACTCTAGCCGGGCTGGGGGTGGGGCCCGGCTCCCGGATCCAGCGGAGGGGCTGTCCCGGGTGGACCGCTCTCGCACCCACCGCCCGGGCCTGTCCGGGGGCAGCTGCCGGCCGCTGGGCACCAGGGTGCGGCCAGTCCAGCGCCACCAGGCTGGAGGCAGGACGTGCGGGGCGGGCCGGGGACTGCGTGGGGCGGGGCTTGGATATATGGGCGGGGCCTTCAGGGAGGCGGGGCTTGGGGCGGGCCCTGGGTCCTATGGGGCGGGGTCAACCGGGGAGGGCGGGGCCTGGGGGAGTCAGACGAGGGCGGGGCCCCGGCGCGGGTTAGGGGCGGGCCCGGGTAGCGCTGGCGCCTCTTCCGCGCGCTCCAGCCCTTCCGCATCCTGTAGCCCCGGGTCCAGCAGCCTCCGGGCATACCTGCTCGGCGTCCAGCAGTCCCGGGTCCAGCAGCCCCGCATCCTGCAGCCCTGGGTCCAGCAGCCTCCAGGTCCAGCTGCTCGGCGTCCAAAAGCCCCGGGTCTAGCAGCCCCGCATCCTACAGCCCCGGGTCCAGAAGCCTCCAGGTCCAGCAGCCCCGGGTCCAGCAGCCTCCAGGTCCAGCAGCCCCGGGTCCAGCAGCCCCGCATCCTGCAGTCCCGGGTTCAGCAGCCTCCAGGTCCAGCTGCTCGGCGTCCAGCAGTCCCGGGTCCAGCAGCCTCCGGGTCCAGCTGCTCGGCGTCCAGCAGCCTCCGGGTTCAGCTACTCGGCGTCCAGCAGCCCGAGGTCCAGCAGCCCCGCCTGCAACAGTCCAGGGTCCAGCAGCCCCGGTCCCAGCGGCCCCGCGTCCAGCGATCCCGCGTCCAGCGGCCTCGGGTCCAGCAGCCCCGCTTGCAGCAGCCCCGGGTTTAGGGACCCCGCGTCCAGCGGCCCGGGGTCGAGCAGCCCCGGTCCCAGCGGCCCCGCTTGCAGCGGCCCCGGTCCCAGAGGCCCTGCGTGCAGCGGCCCCGGGTGCAGCGGCCCCGGGTCCAGCAGCCCCGCGTCCAGCAGCCCCGCGTCCAGAAGCCCCGCGTCCAGCGGCCCCGGGTCCAGCGACCCCGCGAGCAGCGACCCCGCGTGCAGCGGCCCCGGCCGGGCGGCGCCGCAGCATGTTCCCCCGCTCGCGGCGGCGGCCGGCGCTGCTCTGGCCGCTGCTGCTCGCGCTGTGCCGGGCGCTGGCCGGGGCCGCGGCGGGCAGCTACAGCCTGGCGGGCACCTGGACGCTGCGCAGCGCGAACGGCTCCGTGGAGCTGCCGGCGGCCGTGCCGGGCTGCGTGCACACGGCCCTGTGGCGGCGGGGCCTCACCCAGGTACGCGCCCCCCAAACCTAACCCTTAACCCCCGGCCCGGCTCCCCGCGACCCCACCCGGCTCCCTGCGCCCCCCCGCCCGGCTCCCTGAGGCCCTGGCCGCGCGCGCGCGCGCCCTGTCGCCGTCACCGAGTCGGGGCTCGTTAAGGGCGGGGCTGCCCCAGCCCACCCGGAACCAGGTCGGGGAAGCGCTGTGCAGGGGCTGCTGCAGGGACGGCGGTTCCTTCGCCTTAGAACGTGCCCCTCTTGGGGGGTGTGACCCAAAAAGAAAAAAAAAGTGCGTCCCAAAGGGACTTAGCAGGCGTGGTCCCGCGCACTGTCCTGTGTGAGGCCTGGCCTGCTCGGTCCAGGCTATGCTTGCATAGCTGGGGGAGTCGCGCCTGTGCACTGCAGGGGTCAAACTTGGGGTCTGCAGCACGCAAGGCCGTGCTCCAGCCCCGTAGCTGCCTCCAGACGCTTGTTATTGTTATTAGTTTGGTTTTCTTTGGGGATCACACACGGTTGTCTTTAGGCCTTACTCTGGGCTCTGTGCTCAGGATCACTCCTGGTGGTGCTCAGTGGAACACATGGGGTGCTGGGGATCGAACCTGGGTTGGCTGTGTGCAAGGCCAGCACCTGCCCGCGGTGCTAAGGCTCTGCCCCCACCTCCTGTTGAGTTGAAGGAAATACTTTTACCTTAGGATTTCGTTGGTGTGTAGCTCAGCGGGACCTGGGCCGGGCTTGGGGGCGGAGCTGGCGGGATCCCACCTCGCTGGGACTGGGTGGACCGTCTTCCTGCCCATAAAGATCTTGGTTATTTTGGTCTGGTGTTTGGGCCACACCCATCTGCGCTCAGGGATGGCTCCTGCAGGGCTCGGGGACCATGTGGGGTGCTGGGGAGCTAACTTGGTGGCCCCTAGCAAGGCAGCCCTTTAACCTCTTGTGCTATCTCTGGTCCTATTTTTAGTGAGCAAACAACTCGTGACAGCTGGCTTTGACCCCGGGCTGTGTTTGAGGTGCGGGGAGGGGGGTATCTTGCCTTTGTACCCACAGGACGAGAATGACGCAGCCGGAGCCGGAGTGTGTGGCAACACGGCTGGCGTGACCACACGCATACGGCTCCGCAGGGGTCTGGGCTTGAGAGGGGCTGGGACCTTCGCCAGCAAGGGCTCCTGGGCACCGTGGCTCCTTTGCCTCTCATTACGAATGTGGTTTCCGGTGTTCAGACACCGACCCCACCGGAGTTCGCCAGCTCCTTAATGTTTGGGCTTCTCGGTTTGGTGCTGTGGACGTCCGGCTGTGTTACGCCTTCCTGCCACCACGAGGTCATTCTCCCAGAGTGTCTGAGGCCAGCGAGCTTGCTCCACGGGCTCTGCACGCAGGCACCGAGCGCCTTCCCGCCCCGAGCACTGCTCTGAGAGCCTCTGGAGCTGGGAGTGTCTGTTGTGGTCACCACACGGGACTCACTGAGAGTCGTTTGGATCAGGTGGTGCACGCAGGAGTTCTTCTGATGATGTACTTGAAGGGTCTGAGTTTTCTTGGCACAGAGAATGGGAGGGAGCTGGTAGCGGGTGGGACTGGCTCGCTCTCGGGAGCCTGGGGAAGCCAGCCTCACTCAGCAGTGCTCAGAAACCATGCTTGGGGACTCCCTGCCTCTGCTGAGGGGGTGCTCTAGGTGGCAGTGCTCTGGGAACCATGCAGGATGGGTCAGTGAGCCTGGAGCACGCAGGCAGGTGCTCAGCCTCTGAGCTCTCTCCAGCCCAGAAGTGCTCCTGGGGACTCTTCAGAGCTTCTGTGCTGGGGATTGAACCTGGGTCTCTCACACACACACACACACACACTCACACAAGTCACGTGCTCGTCCACTGCATGCTATCCCAGCAGCCCAGGGTCCATGGAGGTTCACAGACAGCAGCTTCGGTGCCTCCAGGGCTCCGCTGTTGGTGCTCAGGGGTGGTGTGGCTGGCCTTGTGCCCAGCCCTGTTCTGGGCTCTCTCTTCTGGCCGTTGCTTTGTAGGTTGACTCCTATTTCAAGACCACTCACTATCCTGTCCTGTCCTCCTGTTGTTCATCGATTTGCTCAAGCGGGCACAGTAACATCTCCATTTTGAGACTTGTTGTTACTGTATTTGGCATATTTTTATTTATTTATTTATTTATTTTTGTATTTGGCATATTGAATACATCACGAGTAGTTTGCCAGGCTTTGCTGTGCGGGTGAGATACTCTCAGTAGCTTGCCGGGCTCTCCGAGAGGGGCAAAGGGATCGAACCTGGCTTGGCCAGGCTTGTCTCGTGCAAGGCAAATGCCCTACTGCTGTGCCATGCTATCGCTCCAGCCCATTTCAAGACCATTTTTTTTTTTCGCTTTTTGGGTCACACCCGGCATTGCACAGGGGGGTTACTCCTGGGTCTGCACTCAGGAATTACTCCTGGTGGTGCTCGGGGGACCATGTGGGATGCTGGGAATCGAACTCGGGTCGGCCATGTGCAAGGCAAACATATAGCAGATATAGCCCTATCTGCTATACTTTTGCCCCGCCCCAAGATCATTTAGTTTTAATCACTGTCACTCTAGCTTTTAGTCTGGAGTCGGGTCACACGATGACATTCTTCTTGGGACTGCTTTAGCTCTTTGAGGTGTTTTATTTTGTTGATTTTGGCCTTACCCAGTAGTGCTCAGGGTCACTCCTGGCGGGGTTCCAGGTACCATCGGGGTGCTGGGGTTAAACCTGCTTGGCTGTGCCCAAGGCAGGTTCCTTATCGAGCTGTGCTGTTCTCTCGCCAGCCAGTCCGGGCCAGTTGCGTGCAAAGCAGGGGCCTTCCCTGCTGTGCTGCTTGTCTAGCCCTGGGTTTGCTTTGGGTTCCCTCTGTGGATGCCCCAGGCCTTTGCCTGGTTCCTTGCTCCAGGCTGGCTCCCGGCAGTGCCTGGGGGACCCTGTGGTGCCGTGCTGGAACCCAGCCTCCTGCAGGGCCAGCTGAGCCATCTGCACACCAGTGCTCCTCTTCTTTTTTATTTTTTCTTTTAATTTTTATTAGTGAGTCACCATGAGGTACAGCTGTAGACGTACACATTTTTGTGCTTGGGTTTCAGTTATACAATGATCGAGTACCCATCCCTCCACCAGTGCCCATTCTCCACCACCACTGATCCCAGTATCCCTCCCACCCCCTCACCCCCACCCCCATCCCACCCCGCCGCTGTGGCAGGGCATTTCCTTTTGTTCTCTCTCTCCTTTTGGGTGCTGTGGTTTGCAAAAGAGGCATTGAGTGGCAATCATGTTCGGTCTATAGTCTACTTTCAGCATGCATCTCCCATCCTGGGAGGATCCTCCCAACACCCTTTATTTGGTGCTCCCTTCTCTATCTGAGCTGCCTTTCCCCCCAGCATATGCGGCTGGCCTCTAAGCCATGGAGTGAACCTCCTAGTACTTATCTCGGCTATTCTTGGGTGTTAGTACACCCGCTCCTCTTTAGAAAGCATTTGCACGATTTTCTGTGTGATTCCTTCTGAACTCTGTTCAGAGTTTTCTTACAACCTGAGGGGGGTGTGTGCTGACTGCTGTCGCCTTCGAGCCTCAGAGCCGAGGGCCTCCAGTATATTTGACCCATCACACCCTTTCCAGAAAAAAGCAGAACACTCCTGCAACCTGTTCTAAGCAAACACACGGAAAGAGCTTCCTTGCTGTACTCAAGGCTTCTGTGCTGTCAGGGCTCCCCGGGGCCCTGAGCTGCCCCTCCGGCCTCGGCCCTTCCCCTCGCTGTCTGGGCTCCCCTGGGGCCCTGCGCTGTCCCTGTGGCCTGTGGTGCCCATTGACAGCAGCTGCATCTCGGCTTTGGACCATTTGCTCTGCGGGCTGTGAACTGGCCCCTGGGCCGTGCTGTGCCTGCCTGAGGCCCTGAGGCCCAGCGCTGCCCAGACCTCCAGGAAGACTCCCCCCGAAGCAGGAGGCGGTCACCGTGTCGGTGACCGTGCGGAGAAGCCTCTGCTGTCTCCACTGTGGTTATCCTGTTGGCTGGGTCCTCCCACAGCCAACCGTGTGTGCACACCCAGGGCCGCTAACCTGAGCTGTCCTGGACTCAGCCCCGACACAGAGAGCCTGACAGGGGGGTCCGTCCTGTCAGACCGGGGCAGGGAGGCTCACACTGCCTGCACCCACGGGCCCTGGATTCCGTCACGGCCGCTGGCGTGCGGCGTCGCTGCGTGATGCTTCGGGCTCCGGTGCTCTGGTGTGGGAAGGTGACTGGCCTCCCCCTTGGCAGGACCCTTACTATAGGTTCAATGACCTGGAGTCCAGGTGGATCGCCCTGGACAGCTGGACCTACAGCAGGGCCTTCACGCTCCCTGCCGAGCTCAGGTACTGCGGCCCTGGCTCTACCGTCTCTGCCCTTGGCGCTGCTGCTCCGTCTCTGGGGGACCCTGAGGAGGGGTGGACGGGGGGCAGACTCTGGGTATTGTGCCCAGCGATGACCCTTGTCTGCTGCGTTGGCCCCAGGCTCAGAATCAGGAGTGTGGAGGCTTTTGAGGCGTCTGTGTTGGCTGCCAGGCCCCACCACTGTCCATACTCCCAAGCTGCCCCTCCGGCCTCGGCCCTGCCCCTTGCTGTCAGGGCTCTCCGGGGCCCTGAGCTGCCCCTCTGGCCTCGAGGCCCAGCGCTGCCCAGACCTCCAGGAAGACTTCCCCCGAAGCAGGAGGCGGTCACTGTGTCGGTGACCGTGTGGAGAAGCCTCTGCTGTCTCCGCTGTGGTTATCCTGTCTGCTCCTCTGGGCCTCCCCCACGCTGCTTAGGGCTTCCCTGGCTCGGTGCTGGTCGGGCTTGGGGAACCACCTGGGGTGCTGGGGCTGAGACTAGGATCGGCCTCATGGGAGGCAGGTGCCTTGCCTTCATTATCTCTCTGGCCCCCATTCCATTAATTCTTATTAACAAAGGGATGTATCTAACCAGCATTTTATGGACCTTAAAAATCTTTTCTTTCAGGAAATGGAAGAATATCTACCTGATCTTTGAGGGAGTGGATACGGTGGCCCAGATTGTGCTGAATAATGTCACTCTCGGAAAGACAGACAACATGTTCGTCAGATATGTGAGTGGCAGCCCACAGGTTTCACAGGCAGCGAAGGCACTTGTGCACCAATGTGTGCATGAGTGCGTGTGCGTAGGTGTGCGTGTGTGCATGCATGTGTGTGCATGTGTGTACATATGTGTGCATAAGTGTGTACATGAATACGTGTGCTTATGTGTGTGCATGAGTATGTGCATATATGTGTGCATGAGTGTGCATATGTACATGAGTATGTGCCTATGTGTGTGCATGAGTGTTCATATGTATGAGTGTGTGTGCATATGTGTGCATGAGCATATGTATATGAGTGCATGTGCATGCATGAGTGTGTGCATATGTGTATGCATGTGTTCGTGAATGTGTGAGAGCAGAATGTGTGATATGCGTGTGCATAAGTGTGTACATGAGTGTGTGCATGGGTATATATGCATATGTTTGTATATGCATGTGTGTATATGTGTGTATGAGTATGTGCACATGTGTCTGCATGAGTGCATATGTTGTGCATGAGTACATATGCATATGTGTGTATAAGTTTATACATGAATGTGAACATGTGTGCATGAGTATGTGTATGCATGTGTGTGCATATGAATGTGTACAAGTATATGTGTACATAAGTGCATGTGCCTGTGTGTAAATGTATGTGTTTATGCTTCTGTGTTTTTGTATGAGTGTATGCACATGTGCAGGCATGAATGTGTTCATGTGTAAGCCTGTGTGCACGAATTCACACATGTGCATATGTGCATGAGTGTGTATGCATGGTGTATACGTGCTTGTCTGATGTATGTCTGTAGGCATGTGTTTACATGTGCACACATGCGTGCATGTAATGTGCCAGGTGCATGTGCACGTGTGACAGGAGCCACTGGACAGTCACAGCCCTGCTGCCCTGTGTCCCTGTCGGTTTCCAGCACCTCCTTTGTGGACTGTTGGTGCTCTTGCAGCTGCTGCGACCAGGGGGGACTCATGGGCCTTTTACACCCGAGGGGCCCCTGCTCGGGGGAGGGGACGGCAGGCAGGTCCTGTCCAGGCCCTCTGACCCGAGGGCTGACTGCTGGACCCTGCTCCCGTGGCTAGTCGTGGACCAGGGAAAGGACATCCTCCAGGTGCCGCCGTGGCCGCCGTGGCGGAGGCTCGGGGACAGGCTTCCTGTGAGGCACGTCGGGGTCCTGCGGCAGGAGGACACGCCTTGCGCCATTGGCAGTGGGAGCAGCGGGCCCGGCTATGTCCTTCCTGAGGGGCCGCGCTGACCCTCCCGCTTCTCTGGGCTTGTCCTGCAGAGCTTCGATGTCAGTGGTGTGGTGCGGGCCGAGAATTGGCTGGAGGTGCGCCTGCAGTCGCCCGTGCGCTATGCTGCCCAGCAGAGCGCCGCCTACCCTGGCCCTGTGCCGCCGGCCTGCCCCCCGCCCGTGCAGAAGGGCGAGTGCCACGTGAACTTCATCCGGAAGGTGAGGTGACCGGGTGCTGTGGCTCGGGAGGGGGGCCCTGAGGTCCTGGTTAGATGACTACGTGGGGCGGGGTGGCCCTTGGGGTGCCCCCCCCGGAGGCTGGTTTCTGCAACCAAAGAGCTTAGGGACCCCCTGGTTCTGCCCATCCTGCCCCATGGCCCCACCAGCCCTTCTGCTCTGGGGCTGCCACCCTCTCCCTGTGAAGCGTCCCCGCCGCCATCTCACCCCGTCCAGCCTCCAGCACGCAGGGGTGGGGGAGGCATCCTGGGCAGACGGAGGGGGTCCTGCTGGGTGGGGAGTCCCGGGCAGCACCTCCACTGCCCACTCACAGCCATGTCCGCCCCCTCCAGGCGCAGTGCTCCTTCAGCTGGGACTGGGGCCCCTCCTTCCCCACCCAGGGCATCTGGAAGGGGGTGAGGCTGGAGGGCTTCAGCGGCTGCCGCCTGGATCACCTCACATTCGCACCGCTGTACAGTGAGTGCACCCAGTTCTTGGGGTCCCTGTGCCACGAGTGTTCCCAGGTCCCGGGGTTCCTGTCCCGTGAGTGTCCCCGGTTCCCGGAGTCTCTGTACCATGAGTGCCCCCAGCTCCCAGGGTCCCTGTCCCGTGAGTGTCCCCAGTTCCCGGGGTCCCTGTATGGTGAGTGCCCCAGCTCCTGGGCCCCGGGACTTCCTCCTGCCCTCCTGGCCCAGTGCCCGAGACTCCGGGCCACACCAGACAGACATCCACTGATGCCCCATGAGTATCTCAGCCTCCCCTGGGTGAGGACTCCAGCTTCTCCACTCTTTCTTCCTCTGGTAACTTGTGCTTCAGAGGGGAAGCTTCCGGAACACTGGGGAGGTTGTTCCTCAGAGCTGGGGGGCCAAATGCTAGTGGTGAAGAGTTCGCTTGGATGGAGGACACAGAATAGCAGACACACACAGCAACACACACACTCAGTGTCACACACAGTCTCACGCACAGTCTCACCCACATGCCTCACCCACACAGTGTCATGTACAGTCTCACCTATATACACAGTCTCACACACTCACACTCTCACCCACTCACAGTCTCACACACACGTGTCACGCACACTGTCCTGCTCACTCAGCCTCAGATAATCACAGTCTCATTCACACAGTTTCACCCCCACACAGTCTCACACACACACAGTCTCACACAGACAAACACACAGCCTCACAGTGTCAGGCACACACATACAGCCCCATACAGCCACACCACACACTCACAATCTCACACAAAGAGTTTCACCCCCACACAATCACACAGTGTCACGCACACACAGTCTCACCCACACACAGTCTCACACACTCACAGTCTCACACACAGAGTTTCAGTGTCACGCACACACAGTCTCACACATACACACCCTCCCCCAGTCTCACCCACGCACAGTCTCACACAGACACAATCCCACACAGTCTCACACAGACACAATAACACACAGTCTCACACACTCACAGTCTCACACACACAGTCTCGTGCAGACACAGTCACACAGTATCATGCACACACAGCCTTGTCACAGCGCGACTCTCTGCCTTAGACGTGTCTTCACGGGCGTGGCGTCTTGAAGTTGAAGCCTCCTTTGACGTGGACAGCACGAAGCCGCTCAGTGGCCTTGCAGTCGTCACCGTCCCTGAGCTGCAGACACAGCAGAAACTCGCCATTGAGCTTCAGTCTGGAAAAAGTCTCATGGAGTTGTCAGTGCCCATCAGCCCCGTGAGTCGTGGCTCCTGCCGGGGACACTGGCGGTGGGCAGGACTGGCTTTGTCCCAGGCACGGCCCCCCGCCCCCCCGTCACTGTGGGGCATGGCCCACCCCCAGCAACGGTGGAGATGGACACGCACTTCCCTGGGGATCCAGCCCTGTGCCCTGCAGGGCTGAGTTGGGGCGGGCAGACCAGCCTCCTGCCCACAGACTCCTCTTCTGCCTCCGTGGCCACGGCTGTTCCCAGGGGCTCGGGTGGGCAGCTCGCTGTTTTCCCGGACCCTCGTTCCAGTGCTCTCACTGATCATGAGGCTGTGAGAATTCAGAACCGTTTCTGGCTCTGGGTTTGACCAGAGGCCGTCCCTCCTGGGGGAAGCGTGCTGGGAGCTGGAGCTGCTTCTCGAAGCCTGTGCTGTTTCGTTCTTCCGCTTCATGCCCTGATCCTGCCCAACCCTGGCACTGAGGGTCTTAGGGTCTTTTCACTGTGGTGGAGGTCGCTGGGTTACAAAGCCATGAAGTGACATGTGTCCACAACTGCAGTGCCTCAGAACATCCCCCCCTTAGCATACTGGTTTCATTCATTCATTCTGGGCCACACCTGATGGTGCTCAGGGCTGACTCCTGGCTCTGTGCTCAGGGCTGATTCCCAGCTCTGTGCTCAGGGCTGACTCCTGGCTCTGTGCTCAGGGCAGACGCCTGGCTCTGTGCTCAGGACTCACTCCTGGCTCTGTGCTCAGGGCTGACTCCTGGCTCTGTGCTCAGGGCTGACTCCTGGCTCTGTGCTCAGGACTCACTCCTGGCTCTGTGCTCAGGGCTGATCCCCAGCTCTGTGCTCAGGGCTGAATCCTGGTTCTGTGCTCAGGGCTGGCTCCTGGCTCTGTGCTCGGGGCTTACTCCTGACTCTGTGCTCAGAGCTGACTCCTGGCTCTGTGCTCAGGGCAGACGCCTGGCTCTGTGCTCAGGACTCACTCCTGGCTCTGTGCTCAGGGCTGACTCCTGGCTCTGTGCTCAGAGCTGACTCCTGGCTCTGTGCTCAGAGCTGACTCCTGGCTCTGTGCTCAGGGCAGACGCCTGGCTCTGTGCTCAGGGCTCACTTCTGGCCAGCTCTGGAAGCCTTATGGGGTTCTGGGGATTGAACCAGGGTAGGCCCTAGTAGGCAAGCACCCTCCCTGCTGTACTGCCTCGGTCCCAACATCCTGATCATTATGGTTCAGTATCATCCAGGGAGGGAGATTTATAGTTTTAGGCAGAATCTGCCAGGCTTACATATGTCACAGGCTACTTAAAATGACTCATGTTGTTTCTTTTTTGTTTCTTAAAAGAATATTAGCGTTGAGACTTGGTGGCCTCACGGGTACGGGAACCAGACGGGCTACAACATGACCGTTGAGTTTGTGCTGGATGGAGACACCCGGATCACAGAGTCGGCTAGGGTGAGTTGGGGCTGGTCACTGCTGGATACCGCTGGACGACGGGCCTCTCTGGGAGAAGACCAGCCCTGCTAGACCCTGTCCTGAAGAGCAGGAATGCAGGTCCCAGCCTGCAAAACTGTTGTGTGCAAGTGCATGTGTGTGTGTATGGATGCGTAAGTGCAGGTTTGTGCCTGAGCGTGCATTCACAAGCATCTGTGTACACATGCATGTGTGCATGTGTACACGAGTGTGTGAGTGCATGCTGCGTGTTTGTGTGCATGCATGTGTTCATGAGTGTGTGCGTGTGTGTGCACGTATGGTGCATGCGTGTTTGTGTGTGCGTGCGTGTGTGAAAGGCTTTCCTGCTTTCCTTCCTTTAGAGTCTCCAGCCCGTGTCCTTATTAGGTTCCTGAATTCTGACTCTGCTCCTCACAGGTTTATTTTCGGACCGTGGAGCTTGTGGAAGAGAAGATAGAAGGGTCCGAGGGCCTGAGCTTCTACTTCAAGATTAACGGCGTCCCCATATTCCTGAAGGGCTCCAACTGGATCCCGGCGGATTCTTTCCAGGACAGGGTGACGCCTGCCCTGTAAGCGCCGGGCTCCCTGCTTGTGCCCCCGCAGCACCGGAGCTGAGGGTCTTCCCCTTCCCTGCCCTCCCCCTCCCTCCCCCTCCCCTCCCCTCCCTTCCCTTTCCCTCTCCTCCCTCCCCCCCTTTCCTTCTCTCACTTGACATCCCAGCAGCACAACTGTTATGTCTTTGAACTGTCTTTTGTAAGAAAACTTTGACATTTTTTTTTTTATCAGCGGTGAAGTCGTTTGAACATCTCCGACTCCCCCGGATTTCTGGATTAGCGTTCACTTTTAGATTTCCCCCTGCAGGCTGCGGCGCCTCTTGCAGTCCGCAGTGGACGCGAACATGAATGTGCTCCGGGTCTGGGGAGGCGGCGTTTACGAGCAGGACGAGTTCTACAGACTCTGCGACGAGCTGGGGATCATGGTGAGTGCCGGAGTGCGGGGGCGTGTGTGAGTATGAGAGAGTGTGTGTGTGGGAGTGCGTGTGGGAATGTGGGGGAGTGTGTGTGTGTGAGAGTGTGTATGGCATGTGTGGGAGTGTATGTGTGGGAGTGTGTGGAGTCTGGGAGTGTGTGTGGGTATGTGGGAGTGTGTGGAGTATGTGTGGGAGTGTGTGTGGGGGGAAGTGTGTGTGGGAGTGGGTGGGAGTGTGTGTGTGTGTGTGTGTGTGTGTGTGTGTGCGCCCTCCCCTCAGCTGCTTCTTGGGCTCAGGGCTCAGCATGACTCAGTCTTGTTTGTTGGGGAGGGGGTACCTGCAAACTCAGCCCCCCCATAACTGCCTGGGGCGAGCTTCCTTACCCCTGCCCCACGGGCACAGGAGACTTCAGGCCCTGTTTCCCTGGGGGCACCTGTCAGGCCCGTGCCCCAGAGCCTGGGCTGTGCACAGCCGAGATGGCAGGCCAGATGCTCTTCCTGGGGACCGCTGGCTCAGGTAAGTGCGTCCTGTCAGGTGCTGGGGGCGGGGCTCTGCTCCAAAGCCCCCCTGCAGCCCTGTCCTGTTCTTGTTTGAGCACCTGGCAGTGCTCGGAGCTCTCCTGGTTCCGTGCTCCTCCTGGTGGTATTCGGGGACCATAGGGGATGCCGAGGGTCAAACCCAGGACAGCTGTGTGCAAGGCAGGTGCCCACCCCGCCTGTTCAGTTCAGTTCAGTTTCTCACTTCTCCTCGTCTCCTCGTATTCCTCTTTTGATGTATTTTCTCTTTTCTGTGCACGTCCCATGGGCACATGGGCGGCTGTGATTGGCTGCCCGAAGACCGTGTCAGCCTGTGGGTGTGAAAGTGGAAACTCAGTGACTCACAGCACTGCAGGGCCCCTGGGGTTCTGTGCACGTGTGAGTGTGCACATGTGTGCATGTGTCGGTATGCATGTATGCGTGTGCGCACATATGGTGCAAGTCCATGTGCACGCACGTGCCTGCGTGTATGCGTGTGGAGCTGACTGTCCTCCAGGCCTTTCCGGACAGCCAGTGCTGCCCTCGGGAGTGCCCGCATGCTACAATTCCTTCCCCGCGCATCCCCGTCCACTGGGGTTAATGCGTGGTGCCTCCCCAGCCCGTGCGGGGAGCTGGTGTGGGGGTCCATCCATCCCCTGGCAGTCTGTCGAGCGCTGCCCTGTCCCTCCCCCTGGCAGGTGTGGCAGGACCTGATGTTCGCCTGTGCCCTGTACCCCACGGATGAGGCCTTCCTAAACTCCGTGCGTGCCGAGGTCGCCCATCAGGTAAGGTGGCGGGCGCAGCGGTTGCAGGCTGCCCGGCCTCACACAGGTACCTGTAAGGTCGGGAGAGGTAGGCGCCTGCCCTGTCCTGCAGGTGTGCCTCCCATCCTACAGGTGTGTCCCCTGTCCTGCAGGTGTCTTCCACTCTCTTCGGTGCCAGCCCCACCCCCTGGCGTAAGCGCCGATGTGGTTTGTGTGTGTGTTGGGTGTGTACACACACAGTGCGGCCATGGCTCCATATGTCCGAGCCTGAGCTGCTGGTTAGCCCTGCCCACCAGGAGGCCTGAGCATCCTTCATGGGAACCTTGAGGGACATGGGTGTGATGTGTCGCAATGAGGCTGAAGTCCACCAGGGGCTGTGGGAGAGGCAAGAGCGCGAGTGGGCCGTGGGTTGTCGCTGGGCAGCGGGAGGCCCTGAGTCCCGAGTGTGGTGTCCACGGAGTGTTTGCCTGAAGCCCCCGAGGACGTGGTGGGAGCTGATCGGGTCCTCACGGGATGTGGGTGGAAGGAGCTGGGGCCCGTGTGGTGACGTGGCGATGCCCTGCTGGGCCTGTGTGGGGCAGATGCTGCGGGCGCCCTGGGCCCCTGGAGCACCGCTGGTGGCCACCCGGGACCCCTTGAGCACTGCTTGGGAGGGGTTTGGCCCCAAACAGGACATAGGTGGAGATGGCTGGTGGGGGGCTTGGCCCCGGTGGCCTCTCCAGCCCCAAGGCCCTGTGCTGTGTCAAGCGCTCTGGGGGGGTATGACTGGGCCTCCTGGGGGAGTGTCCCTGGGCGCTGAGCGGTCCCCATCTCTGGCCTTGGGGCCTGGGGGCAGCCTTGGTCTGGGATGTCCCCACACATTTCGGCCTTTGGCAGGACTGCAGGTGGGCACTGCCCCGGCCTGGACGCGGGCCTGGGAGGTCTCTGAACAGCGCCGAGGCGGGGGCCAGTCCCTGTGGCCTCAGGCATCCCCACACTGGGTCTGGGGCCTTGGGGGCTGTGGGCGGCACAGGCGGCAGCCCCCCTCCAGGCCCTCAGCGCCTGCTCCTGCCGCAGGTCCAGAGGCTGAAGCCGCACCCCTGCGTCATCGTCTGGAGCGGCAACAATGAGAATGAGCTGGCGCTGATGGACGACTGGTTCCACACGGGGGACAGGGCTGCCGCCTTCCGGGCCGACTACGTGACGCTCTACGTGAAGAACATCCGCGCCCTCGTCCTGTCGGTGTGTGGCCAGGGTGCCCTCCCGGCCATCCTGCTCGGTCGGGGCCGTGCCCTGTGGCCAGCCTGCGCCCTGCGCCCGCCCCGTCCCTGGGATGCTGCAGAGCGAGCATCTCCCGGGCGCCCAACACATCCACCTGGGCTGTTTTTCCTCCCAGGGAGACGGAACGCGTCCGTTCCTCCCCTCCAGCCCCACGAATGGCGCGCGGTCGGAGGCCGAGGGCTGGCTGTCGGAGCACCCGGACAGCAGCCTCTATGGGGACACGCACTTCTACGACTACGCACGTGACTGCTGGGACTGGCGCATCTTCCCCCGGGCGCGGCTGGTGTCCGAGTACGGCTACCAGTCCTGGCCGTCCCTCAGCTCGCTGCAGCAGGTGGGTGTGCGGGCTCGTGTCCAGCGCGGGGACCCGTCCTGACCGGCCTTGGCTTTGTCGCGGCGGTGGGCGGATGCGCGGGCTCTTGCCCAGCCCGAATGCGGGAACCGGTCCCGGCCGGCCTCGCTCCCTGTGGGGGCAGCACAGACTCTGAGCCGGCTGTGGCTTCCCTGGGGCCAGCGGTGCTGGGCATCACGTGGGGACCAGTGCCTCTCTGGCCACTCATTCTGTCTCCCACCCCTGCCCGGCCTCGTCGCCACAGGTCTCTGCACCCGAGGACTGGTTCTCCGGCAGCTCGTTCCTCGCCCACCGGCAGCATCGTCAGAACGGCAATGAGGAGATGCTGAAGCAGGTGGCCCAGAATTTCAACCTGTCCCAGAGCAGAGACCCGCTGCGCCATCTCCGAGAGACCATCTACCTGACCCAGGTGAGGCCGCGAGTCCTGCGGGGCCGGGCCTGGACGTGATGACCCCGTCTCAGGCTCCTGCCCTTGGCTGTCCGAGTGCCCACGGTGAGTGAGTGGAGGGTCCCGCCCGCAGGTGATGCAGGCCCAGTGCGTGAAGACCGAGACCGAGTTCTACCGGCGCAGCCACAGCGAGCTGGAGGCCGGCCAGGGCCACACCATGGGAGCCCTCTACTGGATGCTCAACGACATCTGGCCGGCCCCGTCCTGGTCCTCGCTCGGTGGGTCCCGGGGCTCCTTCCGGCGGCCGCCACCCCCCACAGGGTGCCTGCAGCCCCTGAGACCCCTGTCCCCAGCCAGGGCCAGTGTCCGAGTGGTGTGGTTCAGGGCAGGGAACCCTCGAGCCCATGACACCCTGCAGCGGCCTGGGGGGCCGGGCCCTGCCGGCTGCGGCTCTGGCTTTGCAGTGAGGAGGGTGTCGGCGCAGGCGGCTTCAGGGGAGCCGGCAGGTGACCGCAGGGTCCAGGAACTCGGGACAGTGTTTGCAGACAAACTAATGGTCTTTGCCGCTTGGGTTCACGCCGTTTCAGGCTACCAGCAGGTTTGGCTCCTGCCGTGGGCACCCGGCCTCCGGAAATGCCTGCGTGATGGGCTCTGTCCATCCATCAGTCTGTGCCCTCCCTGCTCCCTTCCTCCCCTCTCCCTCACCTGGCTCGGCTGGCTGCATGGGGCGGGGCGGCTCCGTGCTGCTGCGCAGCTCCTGGCCGGCCGGGGCGGGACCTCTCCCAGGTGCAGGCGGCAGTTGGTCCTCGGTGTGAAGCCGCAGGCGGGGTCCCGGGCAGGGTCCCGGCGTGGGTTGATTGCCCCTGTGCTGCAGAGTACGGAGGCAAGTGGAAGATGCTGCACTACTTCGCCCGCCGCTTCTTCTCGCCGCTGCTGCCGGTGCCCGTGGAGCGGGACGGGGCGCTGCTGGTGTTCGGGCTGTCGGACCTGCGGGCACCCGCCAGCGTCCAGCTGCAGGTGAGGCGCCAGCCACCCCTGCGGCTCTCCGTGGACACGCCTGCGTGTTTCTCAAAGGGTCTGGACGCTGCGCTCACCCGGCCGTCCTGGGCCCTCTGAGACCTGTCTAGCTGCCTCGGGGGCTCCCGGGGGTCGGAGGCAGCTGGGGGGGACGCACATCAGAGCCGCTCGCTCGGGTCGGAGAATCCAGGTCTCCTGAGAGCAGGGACACAGCCCGAGGCTGGAAACTGTAGGGAGGGGTGTGGAGACGGGCGGGGGCGGGTCGGGCTGTTGGGAGCCTTGTGTGGCAGAGGCAGCCCCCCGACCGCTTCGCTGAGACCCCGCCTCCGTCGCCACCCCCGCAGGTGCAGCCCCTTGAGACCCACGTCCCTGCAGGTGCAGCCCCCTGAGACCCCTGTCCCCGCAGGTGCAGCTGCTGGCCTGGAGCTCTCTGCAGCCCCGCTGCTCGCTCAGCCTGGAGCCCACCACGCTGCAGCCCGGAGCCGCATCGCTGCTTCTGCGGGAGCCGCTGCGCCCCCTGCTGGCACGCTGCGGGAACTGCACGCGCAGGGCCTGCCTGGTGCAGGTGCAGTTGTGGGCGGGGGCTGAGCCCTGGGGTCCCGACAACCACCTCCTCCTGTCTCGGCCCAGGGACTCAGAGGGACTGCGCCCCCCAAGCATCACTGTGAGTAGGGGGCCCTGGAGGGGCTGGGGGAGGGGGGAAGAGTGGGGGAGGGTCACTGGGGGAGGGGCTGCTGGGGGAGGGACTGGGGGAGACCCCGGGAGTGGGGGGCTGTGGGCACCGCAGCCCAGCCCAGCCCAGCCCAGCCCGCCATCCCTCCAGGTGGACATCTCTCAGCACGGAGACACGTTTGCCTTCGTCCTGGAGACTCAGGCTGTGGCCGCCTTCGTGTGGCTGGACGTGGGGGCCATCCCCGGGCGGTTCAGTGACAACGGCTTCCACCTGACTCAGAGGGCCCGGCTGGTGCACTTCCTGCCCTGGGCGCCCACCAGCGTCGGGGACCTGCGGAGGGAGCTCCGCGTGACCTCGCTGGCCGATGTCTCCTGAGACGCCCGCATCTCCTGGCCTGCACCATGGCCACTCTCTGGCCCCTGGACATCACTCCGGAGGTGGGATTGCTCGGGTCAGTGCCGTGAGCTCACAGAATCCTGTGACCACTGGGCGGGGCCGAGGGTCACCGTCCCTGCCGCTGTGGGCCTGGGTCTGAGGGACGGGACTTGGCTCATAAATACAGTCCACGCTGCCCTGTCTGTGGCTCTGTCCTTCTGCTGGCCCGTGGCTTTGCAGGGGCTTCTCCTGGGGCCTGTCACAGGGGCTCGGGGTGGAGAGGACCTCGGGGTAGACGGGGCTCAGGGTGGACGGGCTTAGATGAAGGGGCTCAGATGGACGGACCTCAGGATGGTCAGGCCTCGGGATGGACGGGCTCAGATGGATGGGGAACTTGATGGACTTAGGATGGATGGGGCTTGCGGTGGACAGGGCTGAGGTTAAGCACAGCAGCAAGGTGGGACCCTCGAGTGCCGTGGAGTGCCGGTGCCCTAGTGAGTGGCTCGGGTGGGGGTCTGTGCAGAGCCATGGCAGGGGCAGGGACGCCCACCCTCAGGTGCCCATGACCTGGTGGCCGAGACCTCAAGCTGACAGTGCTGAGCTGCTGCTTAGCTGGCTGCTGGGGGCTCTGGTGGCGAGTAACGGGGGCTCTGGTGGCGGGTGACGCCACGCTGGCGCGGCTGTTCCCATGGTGCAGAGCCCCTGGTGCCTAAGGGCTTGGACCCAGGAGCCATCGTCGGGCCTGAGTGCCGGGAGAGTGCCCCGTGCGGGGCCGTGAGGAACGGTGAGAGCAAGAGATCAATTTGCTTTTTCTTTTATTATAAAAGTAAAATAAAAAATAGCATTTATAAATCCGACCTTTCTTCTTTAAAGTATTTGATCTAAAAACATATTTACAGTAGCAAAACGCAGAAAAGGGGGGGAAGGGCCATTTGGCACTGCCGTGCCCGTGTTTCGAGGCTTGGGCTCTCCCGGCGAGTCTGTGGCGCCTGTGTGGCCGCGGCGTCCCTGCGGCCGTCCGTCTGTCCGTCTCCACGCTACACCTTGCCCTCGAGGGGCCCGTCCTGCTGGCACGCGGGCAGCACTGTGCCCGTCAGCGTGTCCGTGAAGCTGAGTCTGTGGAAGGACGTCTCCACGCCGCTGTCACACATGCTGTCCTCGCCCAGCTTGTCTGCAGGCAGAGGTGGGACTCAGCGGGTCCTGCCTCCGCAGCCCCGGGGGGCACATCCTGGGGGAGCCCACTCACAGCCCCACTGCACCACAGTCTCTGGCTGTGGGCTTTGCTGCATGCATGCATGTGTGTGTTCAGGTGCCTGTGTGTGCATATGTATGTGTGTGTGTTCAGGTACACATGTGTCCAGCATGTGTGTTTGGGTGCCTGTGTGTGCGATGCCTGTGTGTGTGTCTGTTCATGTGGCCCGACCTGGCCTGGGGGGCTCCGTGCTGGCCCCATCTCTTACCCATTGGCAGTGGCCGCTTGCAGGCAGGGGACACGGGTGAATGGGGTGCCGGGGTGGTGGTGGCTGGTGGGGGCTGTGGCGGGCTCCCGAGCGGGCAGAAGGCAGCTTGTACCAGCCGCACGGCCTCGGCGTAGCCCATCTGGTGCAGTGCCTGCAGCAGCTCCTGGACGGTGCCCCCTGAGACCTGGAGGGGCGGGGGCTGCATGAGGTGGCACAGCTCCGTGGGGAGGGGGAGGCAGCCCCTGGGACTCAGGATCCCCCCTACCCTGGAACTGCAGGAACTGGTGAGGCGGATACCTCATAATTGTCCATGAGTGTCTTGGGGGGCGCGGGACTCAGACGGAAGGCGTTGTTCAGCACCCCCAGGCCCAGCTTCTGGGACAGCGTGGCCCAGTTCTTGTCTGGTTCCGGCTGCTGCAGCAGCTCATAGAGTCGGGCCTTGGTGTCCTCAGGCAGCTGCTTCACATCTCCTGGGGGAGGGGGCGCTGAAGCCTGGGGGCGGGAGCCCATCCCCCACTCCCCCACCCCACCCCACCCCGCCACCACTCACCCTGTGCCAACAGCTTGGCCTCGGAGTCGGCAGGCGGTGGGTAGGGCTTCCCGGTCAGGATGTCTATCACCTGAGGATGGGGAGGGGAAACTGGGTGGGCCTCCAACGTCCAAGTGAGCCTGGCTGGGGCAGGGGGGTGGGATCCAAGGGGCCTGAGCCCCCCGGGGCACCTCAGGGCTGATGGACCACCCGGGGGCCTCCCTCCACGACCCAGCTGGAACCCACTGCCCGAGCGGGAGAGCCCACCGGCCCCAGCTGGCCTGGACGCCCACCCCTGGGTCAGGACCCGCTGCACCCACCTGCTGGGTGGTGGCCATATCCAGTGGAGTGGTCCCGGGCACTATCTCCTCGCCGTCGCTGTCCTCTCCCCATGAGTCATCCAGGTCGTAGAGGGGCTCAAAGTTCTCCACACAAGGGTCCGCCCCTGTGGTCGAACACACGGCCAGGGGATCAGCCCTCAGGACTCTGACCCAGTTCCGTGGCCTGTCCACTGGGAGCTCTGCCGGACTGCCCTGGTCACTCCCACCGACACACCCACCTCCTGCTGCCCCAGCTGGGCAGCTCCCTGCAGCGGGGACCTGGGGCTGATCCCAGTCTGGGGGGAGGGGCGGGTCGGGTGGGGGAACACAGCTGGTCTGCACTCACATCGTGCCCAGAGGCTCTCCCGCCTCCCCCCGCCATCCAGGCCCCCTGACCCCTCCCCCGGGCTGTGACCCCCTTCCCCCAGGTGCTGACCCCCTCCCTGGCTGTGACCCCTCGGGCCTGACCGTCCCCCCAGGCCCTGACCCCCTCCCCAGCGCCCTGACCACTCCTGGGCCTGGCCTCCTTCCACGGCTTTGATCCCCTCTCCCAGGGACTGACCCTCTCCCCCAGGGCCTGACCACCTCCTCCAGTCCTGAACCCCTCCCCCGTGCCCTGGCCCCTCCCCCGGGCCCTGACCCCTCCCCTGGGCCTGACCGCCTCCCCAGGCCCTGACCCCCTCCCGGAGCGCTCACCCGCGGCCGTGAGCAGGGCGGTCAGCCACGCGGAGCCCCGGCCAGCCGCGATGTGCAGGGGCGTGGTGCCGTCGAAGGTGGCGCTGTCCACGCGGGCGGCCCCCTGCGGGCGGGGCGGTCAGGGCGTGGGGCGCGGCGGACGGGGGCCGGGGCCGGGGTCGGGGCCGGGGTCGGGATGGGGTCGGGGTCGGTGGCGGGGTGGGGTTCGGGCGGGGGTCGGCGCCGGGGGCGGGGCCAGGGCGGGGGCGGGCCCGCGCGGGGTCGGGGTCTGCGCTCACGTCCAGCAGCAGGCAGCCGGCCAGCGGGAGGAGGTCGCGCTCCACGGCCAGGTGCAGCGCCGTGCGCCCCGCCTTGCGCTCCTGCGCGTCCACGTCGGCGCCCGCGGCCAGCAGCAGCAGCAGACAGGGCAGGCTGTCGCTCAGCACGGCGGCGTGCAGGGCGGTGAGGCCTGGCCGGGCAGGGGCCGCGCGGGCGGGGTCAGCGCGGCCGCCCCGCCCCCGGCCCCGCCCCCATTCCCTCCCGGTCCCGCCCCCCCGCCCCCACCCGGTGCACTCACCGTCCCCGTTGGGCAGGTCCAGCAGCGGCCCGGCGCCCCGGTGCCGCAGGAGGACGCTCAGCACCTGGTCCAGGCCGGCCTTGGCGGCCAGGTGCAGCGCCGAGTCCCCGGAGCGGTCTAGGAGGCCGGGGTCGGCGCCGGCGCCCAGCAGGGCCTCCACCACGTCTGGCTGCCCAGTGAGCACCGCCAGGTGCAGGGGCGTCTGCGGACGGAGCGGGCAGCGACGCCGAGGTCAGCCCACGGGGTCCCGGCCTCCCGGTGGGATCTCCCTCCTGCCCAGGGCCCAGTGTCCACCCTCAGCCCGGGCCACGGCTCCCCACCGCGTGAACAGCGGAGACCCGATGAAGCAGCATCGTTTTCCGCACGGGCACCAGGAGGAGCCCAGCACGCACGGTACCACGGGGAGGACCAGCGGACCAGTCTCCTGGGCCACTGGGGTGGGGGTGGGGCCCACAGATGGAGCCCCGCCCCCGCCACGGTGGCCCCGCCCACCCAGCAGACCTGCCCACTGAGGCTCGCCCCGCCCACACGGTGGAACCCCGCCCACCCGCCGAGCGGAGCCCCGCCCCCGGGGGGCGGCCAGGTCTCTCCGCCTCACCTGGTAGAGGTCGTTCCTCATATTCACGAGGTCCTCACACACCAGCCCCGCCGTCACCTCCAGCAGGTCCCTCACTAGCTGGGCGTGAAGGTGGATGATGGCCAAGTGCAGGACACTGGAAGGGAAGGGCGCTGTCCCACCTGGAGCCGGCTGGGGTCTCCCCCAGGGTCTTGTCCAGGCGGCTCTCTGCCTTCCCGACTCCCCTCCCGCAGCGAGCACTGGGCCAGCTCCGCCCCGAGGGCCACATGGCAGCCCCAGCCCTGGCTCTCAGGATCCCGGGCAGGCCTGCAGCTGCGTCGGCGTCACGCCCAGCCCAAATGCAGGGGGGTCTCCAGGGGCCCCCCACACCCACACGCGCCGGCAGACCCACCTGTCCCCGCTCTCGTCCTGCACAGTGGCCAGGTGGCGCTGCACGGCCAGTAGCATCTTCACATCGCCGGTCACCGCATAGTCGAACAGGGCATTGGCGTGCCTCTTGGCCAGCTGCAGTGCCTTCTCCAGGAAGAGGGGGTCTGCGAGGGAGAGTGCATGAGTTGCTCCGGCCACCCCACGCGCTGGGCAGGGCCCTGACCGCCCCCTGGCCACTTACCCAGGCCCTGCGCGGGCCCCTCCTGCGCCTCTGCCCAGCAGTGCTGCGTCCCCTTATCTCCTCTGCCCGGGCTCCCCCGATCCGCTGTGTCTTCAGCGACGCTGGGGACAGGAGCAGCCTCGGCGTCGTCCCCCTGCTCACAGCTGCCCGGCACCCTCTCGCAAGGCGTGTCTGCGGCCTCTGTGGAAAGGAGGGATGCTGGCTGGGATGTGGACATCACCGCTCGCATCGGCTCGGCCCCCTGCCCTCTATCCACAAGCCAGTTGGGGCTCGTGCTGGCTCCTGGCCCCTGAGCCTGGCCCCGGGAAACGGCCGCTCACAGCCAGAGGGGCATGGCACTCACGGGGGACTCTCAGGGGACACGCCACGTGGACACCAGGCCCGCCCGTCTCCTGGCCCCTCGCGCCCCTTACCATGCTTCATGCCCGCGCTGGACTTGGCGGCGCCCGAATGGAAGGTGATGCCCCCGTAGGTCGCGAATCCGTAGGGGGGGAAGCCGTAGCCTGAGACAGCGGGGGTGGACAGCTTGGTGACCCCTCGGCCAGGGCCCCGCGCAGCCCTTCCTTGGGCAGCCAGGCCAGGCCCAGGCTGTTCTCTGGCACCGCAGACCCGCTTTAGAGTCAGAGTCACGGAAGCATGAGTCAGAGCAGCGCCGGGCAGGGTCCATGGGGCCACACGCAGCAGGGCACAGCCAGGGGCCAGGCCTGCTGGGCCACCTCGCACGGCTGGACAGTTCGGCAGAGCCCGGCCCTTAAACAGCACTGTGGAGCATGGCTCTGGGCAGACACAATGTGCCGCAGTGGCCCCTGCGTGTCCCGCAGGACGCACACCTGACCCTGGGCAGAGAGGACAGGGCCGGCGGGCGGGAGGCAGGCTGACGCCTCACGGAGACCTCCATGTCCCAGAAGCCCAGGCCGCTGCGAGAAAAGCGAGCAAAAGGGACGTAGGCAGGGGGATGGAGCAATAGCACAGCGGGGAGGGCGTTTGCCTTGCACGCGGCCGACCCGGGTTCGATTCCCAGCATCCCATAGGGTCCCCTGAGAACCGCCAGGAGTAACTCCTGAGTGCAGAGTCAGGAGTAACCCAAAAAGCATAAAAAAAAATATGGGACGTAGGTGGAATGCCAGCGGCAGCACTGCCGGACACAGTGCTGGGTGCCAGGGCAGGTCCGGCTCATCTCCAACTGAGAGAACCGTGACCAGCTCTGCACAATGACCATGAAGCACCTGGTGGCCAGACAAAAAGCACAGCGGGCAGGGTGCTGGCTGTGTTCGATTCCCCAGAACCCCAGGTGCTCCACGGAGCACTGCCAGGAGTGACCCTGAGCAAGAGCCAAGAACTGGCCCTGAGCACAGAGCCAGGAGTAAGCCCTGAGCACAGAGCCAGGAGTGAGCCCTGAGCACTGAGCTGGGAGTCATCCCCGAGCACTGAGCTGGGAGTCAACCCTGAGCACAAAGCCGGGAGTGAGTCCTGAGCACAGAGTCGGGAGTGAGCCCCGAGCACAGACCCGGGAGTGAGTCCTGAGCACAGAGCCGGGAGTCAGCCCTGAGCACTGAGCTGGAAGTCATCCCTGAGCACTGAGCTGGGAGTCATCCCTGAGCACTGAGCTTGCAGTCAACCCTGAGCACAGAGCCGGGAGTGAGTCCTGAGCACAGAGCCAGGAGTCGGCCCTGAGCACTGAGCTGGGAGTCATCCCTGAGCACTGAGCTTGGAGTCAACCCTGAGCACAGAGCTGGGAGTGAGTCCTGAGCACAGAGTCGGGAGTGAATCCTGAGCACAGAGCCAGGAGTCGGCCCTGAGCATTGCTGGGTGTGGTCCAGACACCGAAGCACTGTCCACCCCTGAGCACGGCCGGCACTGGCCCACAGGCTCCCTGCACCCACTCACCTGGCCCCGTGCCACCAGCCCCGCTGCTGCCTCCGCCGCCGTACATGCCGCCGGGCCCTGCCCCGCTGCCACCACCGAAGCTGTCCGAGAAGTTGGGCATGAGCTTCTGCCGCTTCCTCTGCACCTCCTCCTTGTCTGGGCGGGAGACGGGCATGTGGACGGGTCAGGAGCCTGAACGGGGGGGGGGAGGGCGAGCAGCCTGCGGGGCTGGGGGCACCACCCTCCCGCTGTGGGAATGCCCTGTGGCCACGGGACCCGGCACCTGGACATCCCCTGGCATGTGGGGCACCCACAGGACGCTGTAGAGCCGGATGCCCTGCTGGGGCAGTGCCCACAGGGGGCAGTGCCAAGTGGCAGGCAGGACCCCTCCCTCATCTCAGGTGGGTCTGAGTTGCCCCGTCAGGGAGGCCCTCTGGGCACCGAGACCCGCACAGCTGGGCCCGGGCGCGTCTGGGGTGGCCACTACCTTTGATCTCGGGGTAGTACAGGAAGGGCTTCGGCTCGCTGGTCTCCAGGTCCGACTTCCGGCGCAGCTGGACGAACACGGAGGCGGGCTTCGTGATGTTGACGTCCTTGTACTTGGGCGTCTTGAACACGATGGCAAACTGCAGGCACAGAGAGGTGGTCCCTGGGGCGGGGGCAGTCCCGCAGAGCAGTCCTGCAGACTGCACGCACACTCTGAGGCCAGACCCACCTGACCCAGCCCTCCCGCATGGGGGGACAGGGCCTGCGAAGCACATGGGGGGACAGTGGCCAGAGAACCACATGGGGGGGCAGGGCCAGCAAGGAGCATGAGGCTGTCACTGCACCCGCCTCATGTCTCATAAACAGAATTTCCTGCACCCCTCCCCTTCCTCCCGCCTCCCAGTTGGAGGCCAGATTTCTGCAAGTGTTGGCCAGCCTGGGAGGCAGAGTGGGGACAGGGCTGGGGCGGGAGGAGGTGCCGGGGCCACTTCCGGAGAGAAAAGAGGAATGCGGGTCATTTTTACGATTCTCACTGGGGTTCTGGGCCCCGAGATCTAGTCCTAGGGGTTAGAACGCATGGAACAGGCCTGGATGTGGCTGGGCGGCCCCGCACGCAGGAGGCCCCAGGTTTGAGCCCCCGCCCCGTAGAATCGCACACTTCTGTTCCTGGCTGGCCTGGCGCTCTCAGAGCTGACCCTCCTCTGCACAGCACTGCCCCGGGGGCGGGTGAGGGCCCACCCGTTCCCTTACGTCTGTACGGAGATCACAGCCCGTCTCGTGCCCGTGAGCTGGGGCTCCTTTTCTTACCGTGTCACTCACACCGCGATGTGTGAGTGACACGAGTCTCAACTGGTGGCCTGCAGAGTCCCCAGGCACACGTTGTGTGGCGTGCCCTGTGGTGAGGTTGGTACTGAGGCCCACAGGAGAGTGAAGGCCAGGGGGCCCTGAGTGGGAGGGGGAGGCAGAGGTGGGCGCCGTTGCCAGCCCATCTGCAGCCGACCCGGGAGGAAACAGGCTCCGGCTGAGTCTCTGCCTGGTGCCCCCCCCCCTCCCCTCCCGCCCACATTCCCCCCAGGGCTGAGCCCGGGCACCAGTGGAAGTTCTCGCCAAGGTTGGAGCTGGAGCCTGGGCCCTGTTCCAGGGCCAGTGACTTCCAGCAGGACTGTGGGAACCTCACAGGGAATTCCGACCGGGCGGGGAGCCCGGGACAGCGGGCAGGTGCGTGCTCAGCACACAGCCGAGCGGCAGAGGGTCCCCTGGGCCCAGCTGGAAGCCAGCCCTGAGCCCTGTTCTCCTCCTGCTCCCGGGCAGAGCCTCTCCCCTTCATAGCCCGACCCCAGCAGGCGGAGCAGTGACCTGCAGCCACCTCACTGCTCACCTGTCTGTGCACGTCGGTCGGGGAGAAGTCGCCAAAGCCTTCCCAGACGCCGCCGTTCTCCTGCTCCTCATAGAAGCGGATCTGGATGTCATCTGCAAACAGAACCCAGTCACACCCAGACGCCCGCTGAGCGGGGCAGGCCTGGTCTAGACCTTTCGAAAGCCATTCAGTCACCGCTGACCCGGGACGGCCAGGTCTCTCTGCCAGTCCCCGCGCTGCCGCCTCTGCTGTCTCGGAACTTGCTGCCTCCCACCCCTGGCTGACTCCTACGGTGCTCCTCTCGGCGTGGGCGCACATCCAGCCCCCTCGCACCCTGCACGTGGACCCTGGCTGATGGGAGCCGTGGCCCGTCCGTGGCATGGCTGCGCAGAGTCGAGCTGCACGGGAAGCTCACCCAGCCGTGAAGGGAGGAGCAAGACGGTCGGGGCCAGACCCGGTGACGCTCCAGCCCTTGGCAAGGTGACACAGCCCATCTCTCTGCGAGAGGGACTGTGTGTGCGTGTGCATCTGTATACATGTACGTGCGTGCGTGTGTGCATGCATGTGCTTGTATGTACGTGCATGTGTATGTGTGGGCATGTATGTGTGGTATGTGCATGTCTATGCGCACATGTGTGTGTGAAGCATGGGCTATTAGTTTAACTGCACTCAGAGGCCAATATTTGAAATATATAGACACCTATTACAAAATGCCATAATTACATAATGTATCATAATTACATTATATAATCAGAACATATGCCTTAATGCATAGTTTGACTCTTAACGGACTTTTTCCAGCCGCCCCCACCCCACAATGTGGCTATGTGTGCGTGTTCTGTGGTGCTGGGTTTAGAACTCATGGTCCCGAGCATGCAGAGTGTCCCACCTCTAGAGACTAGCTCCTCAGCGCCAACGGCCCATAATTTATTTCTCTGCTCTTTGTTTTGGTTTGAGGCCACACCCAATGGTGCTCAGGGCTCACTCCTGGCAGGACTTAGGGGACCACGTGGGGTGCGGGGGGCTGAACACGGGTTGGCAGCGTGCAAGGCCAGCACCTTACCCTCGTACTATCTCTCTGACCCGTTATTTCTCTCCTGTTGAAAACTTATAAACAAATTTATTTGGTGTAAAAAAATCCGACAGACAGCCCTCATTTGGAAGAGGGACGTGCGTAGGCTCCAGTCGGAAGCCCAGGGCCCCTGGGGAAGGCCACGTGCAGACCCCAGTGAGGGCTGGGCCGTACCTTTCTGAACCTTGTCGCAGAGAAGGTAAATCTCCTCCCCTCCCGTCACGCAGCCGGCCGTCCTGTCCATCCTCACGATCTTCAGGTTGGATGCGTTGGGGGCCTCTGTGTGGGGCGGGGGACGCGGCTCAGGGCTCAGCCTCGGCTGCCCAGGCATCCGCAGCCCACAGCAAGCGACCACGGCGTGTACTCCTACGGCCCGACCTCCCGTCACCACCGTGGGGGCTGGGCCGTGGCAGGGACCCACTGGCTTTTGGTTGGCACCGCACGGGGACAGCTTCCCGCGGGGCGTCTCGGCGCTCACACCTAGGACTGACCTCCCCGAAACCGAGGTCCTGGCAGGACCCCGAGAATTCAGAACCAACAGCTTTCCCCATGCCCACTTCTGCTCTACGGATAAGCAGAGACCATGCAGCCCCCTGCAGGGTGAGGTTGGGGGCAGCCCAGGGAAGGCACCCTGGGGGCAAGCGCTTTCCCTCTCCCTCGCTGTCGTCTTTTGGGGGCCACACCCAGTGGTGCTGGGGGACCAGATGGCTCGTGGGGGATCGAGCCCGGGCAAGGCAAATGCCCCCCCGGCTGCACCATCCCTCCTGCCCCATCGGGCCTTGCAACTCTCGCACTTCCCTTCAGACACGTTTGAATTCAGGCTTCGAACCTGGAGCACGGACTTCTCTGCTTATACCAAGTTCTAAAGATTCCCGGGTCTGAGTGCAGTACTCGTGTGGGCCCCAGTGAGCCCTGCGCCCGAGGCTCTGGGGGGCGGCCCGTGGAGAGTGGGACTGTGGCTTTCTTGGCTGGGCCTGTGGGGTTCCTACTGACTCTGTCCCGGGGGCCTGACTGGAAAATGTCACCGAGACTTTCTCCCTCGGAGGCCACAGCGTGGCCCCAGGCGAGGCCCCTGAGGTGCGGCCGCACTCACTGCTGTCGTAGATGGCGTCGGACACCACGGGCTCTAGGCGCCGCGTGAAGCTGCCTGTGCTGTCGGGCAGGAAGGCCGTGAACATGAGGCGCACCACGCTGAGGTCCATCTCCTTGGTCTGCTGCAGGGCGGCCTGGCGGATGACCTCCTTCTCGCTGTCTGGGGACACGGCACAGGCGCCCAGCTCAGACCCAGAGCGGCCAGTGCGGGGTGGGCAGGTCTGGCAGAGCCGAGCCTTTCCCATGGGACGCTCTGCACCGTGACCAAGGACGCGTGAGCAGGGGGAGGGCACGTGCCTTGCACACGGCACACCGGGTTAGACCTGCGGCTCCTCAGACGGGCGCCTAGCCCTACTCGGAGGGACCCCTGAGCGCGGGGCCAGAAGTAAGCCCCGAGCACTGCTGGGTGGGCCCCAGAGAACCACCAAACACAAAACAGAACAAAATGGAGCAACCCACAGAAGAAAACACCCAAACAGCTGGCCATGAGTGGGTTCACGCGGGAGGGGGCGGTCGCTGCTGTGCACGGGCTCGGGGCGTGGACACTGAGGGTCCCGTGGCTCTAAGCACAGCCTGTCCCAGTCGCCTGAGGCGGGGGGACCTGTCCATGGGCACAGACAGTGGCCCTGAGGGCAGTGTTCGGCGGCCGGCCTGGCAGAGGCGCCGTGGGTCGCTCCATGGGGCTTCAGGTCTGGAACCTGGACACGTGGGGACAGATGGACGGATGGACAGACATCTCCTCTCGCGGGGAACAGAGCTGGGGGAGGAGCAGCAGGCGGCGACTACGGGACAGCGGGCTGGGGAGGGCACGTGTGGCCCCAGCGTGCGGCCAGGGACGGAAGTGGGGACAGGTGGTCACAGAGCGGGGCCAGGCGGCCACTCAGACCGGGCACAAGCAGGGTTGGGGGATGCAGTGATGCGGGTAGGATGGGGCCTGTCTGGGGGAAATTGAGGCATGGTTGTGCACTGCCGCAGGCGAGTGCTGGCAGGAGAGTGGCGAGAGGGCACGAGGGGCGAGGGGAGAACTGTGAGCAGAGCAGCACCGCGGCTGATGGCCCTGCTAGTAGGTGGCCGGACTGGATGGGGCTCTAGGGAACAGAGGGGACGGGTGGACGGAGGGACGGGTGGACGTCGGGGTGGAGGGCGCGCACCTGTGAGCCGCCGGTCGCCCGCACCCTCGGCCTGCAGGTAAGCCAGGTCGGGGTGCACCAGGAGCCCGGGGTTGTAGCCGCGGATGCAGGCCTCTGTCATCCGCGCCTCCAGGGTCTCGAACACCTTCTTCTTGGTCACATGGAGGATGCCCAGGTTGGCGAAGCTGCAACAGCCACGGCAGCACCGTCTCGCGGGAGCTCACGGCCCACGGCACGGCCTGGCCGTGCTGCCCACCCCACTGTAGGGCTGCGGCACCGGGCACAGCTGCCCGCATGGGCCTCGTCTCCCGGCAGCTGACCCGTCTCGGCCAGGAAGCTGTACGGGGCCCCCCTGGGAGTCTGGGGGCTTGCGAGACGAGAGGGGCGCAAACTGGAGAGTGACTCGCACGGGGGCCTCACCCCCAGCCCGAGCAGTGGGACCAGCTCCTGGGCTCCCCGGGAATATGTCTCTCACACTCGTCTGCACCCTGAGCTCTCTGGCCCTCCTGGGCCGTCCCCAGAGCGACTCAGGAGCTGAGGTGCTGACAGAGACCCAGCTCTGGCCTGCGGATGGCCCGGGACCCCCACGTGGGCACAAGAGGTTGCAGAGATGCCTGGTGTCCTTGCCCAGGAAACAGGGCGTGCCCGCAGACCAGCTGCGAGGGGCCTCAGACTCCACCCGGGAATCCCGGCTCCGTCCCTGGCACCTCTGGGCCCCAGACACCATCAGGTGCTACCTCGCTCGAGCAGGGAGTCCCAGGGTGTGTGGCCCCCACTGACCCCCACATGATCACTGAGGGGAATGATGAACCCGAGGTCAGCACCTGCATGGCAGTCTTTTTTTTTTTTTTTTGCTTCTTGGATCACACCCAGCAACGCTCAGGGTTTCCTCCTGGCTCTGCAGTCAGGAATTACTCCTGGCGGTGCTTGGGGGACCACATGGGATGCTGGGAATCAAACCCGGGTCGGATGTGTGCAAGGCAAACGCCCTACCCGCTGTGCTATTGCTCCAGCCCTGCATGGCAGAGTCTTAAAGAGCGAGTTCCTGAGCAGCAAACGCCGCACACAGCCAGAGCGGCCCTGTAGGAGCAGCCGAGGGCGAGGCTGAGAGACGCAAGAGATGAGGCTCCCACAGCACAGAGGCAGAGAGCAGGGCCAGGAAGAGACGAGAGCCCAGACCCGGGGGCCCAGCGAGAGCCGCTCATGCAGGCGGCCTCTGGCAACAGTGTGTGTCTGCGGGGGGAGGGGGAGAACAGTGCCCTGGACGGGCCAGTGCTCAGGGAGGAGGAAGGGGAGCCGGCATGAAGTTACTGAGCAACGCACGTTCCCACACTCAGCCACGCAGAGGACACCGAGAAACCCTTGGGCGAGGCCGGGGTTGAGGCCACACACAGGAGGACGGGACCAGACTCTTCCCTCAGCGGCTGAGAACCACTGCTGGGAGTGACCCCTGAATGTCAGGCCGGGAGCAGCAAGGCACAGCGGGGAAGGCTCTTGCCTTGCATACAGCTGACCTGGGTTCGATCCCCGGCACCACATACACTCTCCTGAGCCAGGCCAGGTGTGATCCCTGAACGCAGAGCCTTGGGTTGCCCTGAACACCGCTGGATGTGGCTCCAAAATGTTTGCATGTGCGTGCGCGGGCGCGCGCGCGCACACACACACACACGATTTCTGTGACAAAATGTTAGACCTCGGATGTGTGTAAGTGAAAGCCAAGAGTTTCATTCGTCTCTTGAATACAAATAGCAAAACAAGGAAAGTGGCACGCGCAAGACTCATTCTGGGGGGCTGGAGCAATAGCACAGCGGGTAGGGTGTTTGCCATGCACGCGGCCGACCTGGGTTCGATTCCCAGAATCCCATATGGTCCCCTGGGCACCACCAGGGATAATTCCTGAGCGCAGAGCCAGGAGTAACCCCTGTGCATTGCCAGGTGTGACCCAAAAAGCAAAAAAAAAAAAAAAAAAAAGGAAGACTCATTCTGAGTGGGGAACAAGCCGAGCCGGAGGGGGTGGGGGGTGCATGGGGTCATGCAGAATGCGGGGCTTTGGGGGTGAGGTACACTGGAATGGAGAGAGCCCCACATACAGAGTGATGGAGTCCCCCGAAGTCCAGGCTACCCTGCACCAGTGACAAATTACAAGTCTTTGGAACAGACACTGACGAAGCTGACAGAGCGCGTCCCACTTATGGGGACCTTGATGGGAAACACTTTGGGGCTGGGGTAAGCCCATAGGCTTCCTCCAGGGCTGAGCCTCAGGGACAGGGCAGGGGCCACATATCCCTCGTGTCAGGCTGGGCTCCAGGCTGGTCACATCGATGTGTGACCCGTTTGCTGGATGCATTAGTAGAGGGGATGGGCGGTTTTGCCGGCAGCTGGGCCCGGCCCCAACCTGGGAGACGGGGAGTTTCCTGGTACTTGGCGGCTGGCGCCTAATTAAATAACCATTAGTTCCTCTAAAATCCTGGGAGATTACGAAGCCAAACCACAGAAGCTGCAAATTACAGGCAGCATCTGGCAAGTGTTCGAGTAACCAGTGCCATCGGAGGGGATTCCACCCGTGACTTCCTCTCGGGGGGTGTGATTACCGTGGCCAGAGGACCCAAGGGCATGGCGGCCGGGCCGCAGCGCCTCAAACAACCCCACTTCCCAGTATTCAGGGCAGGGCTTTTTTTTGGGGGGGAGGGGCAAAAAAGTGGGGTGTGATGGTTCTAAAGAGCTGTGAAAGCGTTTGTGCGCTCCTCCTTAGGAATGCAGTAATGGTGAGTGCGGAGTGTGTGTGTGTGTGTGGGGGGGTGAGCGGGTGGGTGGGGACCGAGTAAGATCCACACAGCTGCCTGCAAAGCCAAGTGGCCACCAGCAGCCGGCAGCACCAAGGCGGAGACTGGGGGGGGAGAGGTGGAGGGCGGGGTGGGGGGGGGGGAAGCTCACTTGGAATCTCAAATCAGCCCAGGCTTCCTCCTCCAGTCTTCTCCTGACACCAACGCTCAGTTTTTTTTTTTCTTTTTGGGTCACACCCAGTGAAGACCAGGAGTCACTCCTGGCTCTGAACTCAAGAAATACTCCTGGCGATGCTCGGGGACCCTATGGGATGCTGGGAATCGAGCCCAGGTCGGCCGCGTGCAAGGCAAATGCCCTACCCGCTGTGCGGGTTTTGGTGTTGAAGGAAAAGTCTCTCTGGGTTTCCACACTTAGATGTTCTCACAGTCAGAGAAACACCGAGAACATGAAGACTCACCCTCCAGGGTGCGCGGGCTGGAGATGGGTTGGACTCTGCAGTTCCCACAGTCCCCACGGAGTGGGTGGACGCAGGTGTGACCCGCGTTCCCATCTCGGCCTCCTCCTCCTGACCCTCACTCTGTGGCCACCCACGGCCCAGAACTCCCACTGGCCTGGCCTGGGGTCGACGGCGCTCCCTGGGGGCCTGGTCTCCCCTCCTGCCCACGGGACACCCGGAGCCCGGGGCAGAGCAGTCACTCACCCCACCACCATGTCCTTGGGCCCGGTGGTCACCGTGCAGACGCCGTCCTCGCAGTGCTTGCCCACCAGGCTGTGCGCATGCAGGTGGACGCTCTTGCCGTTGGTCACCAGCTGCACGATCACTTTGGCGGGTCCCACGTAGTTGCAGATCTGGACAGTGAACAGCAGGGTGAGCACCCGGTGTGGCCAGGCGGTGCGCGGGGGCGGGACCCCACCTGCCTGGGGCTGCTGCGGGGCCTCAGCTGAGTGTGGGGGCTGGTGCTTGCGGGTGGGGCTTGTCCAGGGGTGCACAGGTCCTTAAGCTTGGGGGAGCTGCAAGGAGCAGCCGAGAGCCGAGACCCGTCGGGAGGGCAGGAGGGCCAGGCGGGGTGGACGCTCAGAGGTCCAGCTCCGCCAGCCACGAGTCTTTCATCCCCGAAGTGCCCCAGGGCTGCAGCGCCCACCGGTTGCTTCTACATGATCCCACACCTGTCCACTCAAGGCCACCATCCACGGGCTCTGCCACCCATCCCGTACTGAAAACCAACCCTCCTCCCCGCCATGGGGGAGTCCATGGCCGCGAGCGGCCCCTGCCTGAGGCTGGCCACAGTGGTCAGGGCCCAGGCCCGGGTCCTTGACTTCCAGCATCAGCTGGACGCCCAGACCGCTGGGGCAGCTCACGGTTTTGCTATGGAAGATGCGGCCGGGCAGAAGCTGGGGCAGGGTCCCAGGCGCACCCCATATCCACACCAGCACCCTCCTTGTGGGGACCCTGGGGTGACTGTACATCCCCCTGGCCACTGCTAGGTAAGCCCCACCCACCCCTGGAGCCAGGGTGGGGCCCAGCTTGGGGGGTCACTCCATGACCTCACACCAGACACTTTTCACGTCCTGCAGAGAGAACAGTGCTCCCCTGGGTGGGCCCTTCTCCTTCCACTGCTGGACAACAGTAGACGAGACAAGGCTTGCCGGGGGTGGGTGGGTGGGGCGGACAGGCCAAGAGGCCAGTGGGGACGCAGCCGGCGTGCATCTGTGGTAGCCGTCCTGGGTGCCGCGTCCTGAGCTGCCCTGGCCAGTTGTGGGCGGATGTGGCCGTGGGACAGTCTCCTAAGGGCAGTCTCTGGAGTCTGGCGCTAACCGGCCAGTGGGCATGTGGGGGAGCGACCACCCTCTAGGCAGCACCAGTCCTGGGGACCCCTCCCCCCAGCAGCTGTTTCTGGGCATCTCCAGCACTGCGTTTTGTTTTTAAGTTTAGACTTTTTTTTCTTTTGGGGGGTTTTGGTGTTGAAGGAAAAGCCTCTGTGGGTTTCCACACTTCGATGTTCTCACAGTCAGAGAAACACTGAGAACACGAAGACTCACCCTCCAGGGCGCACAGGGGTTACTCCTGGCTCTGCACTCAGGAATTGCTCCTGGCAGCGCTTGAGGACCATATGGGATGCTGGGAATTGAATCCGGGGCGACCGCGTGCAAGGCAAACGCCTTACCTGCTGTGCCTTGCTCCAGCCTCTAAGTTCAGACTTTATGGCTGTTACTTTGGGTCCATGTGAAGCTGGGAACAGGGTGCGGCCCCCACCTGAGCCGCAGCCTGGGACCCTCGGCTGGTGGGTGGTTTGGCCCCGAGGTGCTCAGGGGATCATGCGGTGCCTGGGTTTGGATGTGGGGACCCTCGGAGCGTGCGGCTTCCCTGGGTCACTCCCCGACTGGCAGAGCCAGCGGGCAGCCCGGAGGCTTGGCAGCAGGAGCCCTTGCAGGCAGGAGGAGGGTCGCGGAGGCCCCTGACACTGCCTGGGCATGGGCACAGTCACCCTGCTGTCCAGGAATGCCCGTGGCCTGGGCTGTGGCTGAAGGCTGGCAGAGTGGTCAGACCAGGCCAGGGCAGGGACGGCCTCAGGGCCTGAGGGCGGGGAGGGGTCTCCAGAGCCCCCAGCCCGGCACTCACTGCTGTCCAGGCAGAATGAGGAAGCAGGAGTCTGCGGCTGGGCTGGGCCGGGCGAGGTGACTAACGTCCTGTGGGACCCTGAGGCCACAGGCAGGCGGTGGGGCCCTGGGTGCTGTGGACTTTCCAAGGCCGCTGGCAGGAGACGCTCAGGTGCAGAAGGTCGCTGCTATTTCAGGAGCCCGCCCGCAGCTCGCCACCCAGAGATGCTTCCTCCCTCGCCCTCAGTCCCCTCCACGTCGGAGGGGGTGACCGACAGGAAGGCAGGTCCAGGACGCAAGGGGGCAATGGCCAGAGCCGAGGCCAGGCCCACGGGCTGGGGCTGCTGACGCGGGTCCGCACAGGGGGCAGTCCCCTGCAGAACGCGGGACACGTGTGGGCGTGGGAGACAAACGGACGTATGCGGGCACCGAGGGAGATGCTCTGGGGTTCTGAGCCACAGGGCAGGCACAGTTGGAGGGGAGGGACCCCAGGACCCTCAGGGACCCGCAGGGACCCCGTGGCTTCTCTCAGGGAATGTCCTGCCACCGCCTCAGCCCGCGGGTCTCAGCACTCCCGCCAGGGCTATGGCTACACGGGAGAACGGGGAGGGGCACCCTGAGCCCTCCACTGTCCACGTGCCCACATGCACACACACACATGCACACACAAGCACCATGCTCACAGAACACCCCCCCATGCACACAACACGCACATACACAGCCAACACAAACTGCACTCAGCATATACATGCACCTCCAATATGCACGCACCCACACACACACATAGCACTCACAGCTCATGCACACACACAGCACTCAGGGCCCATGGATGTACGCATACAAACACACACACACACACACAGAGCACTCATGGACCATGCATGCATGCACATACACACACACAGCACTCATGGCCCATGCACTCACGTACGCGCACACACATACACATACACACAGCACTCACAGCTCATGCACACACACAGCACTCACAGCCTATGCACAAACACACACATATACACAGCACTCACAGCTCATGCACACACACAGCACTCACGGCCCATGGATGTACGCATACGAACACACACACACACACAGAGCACTCACGGACCATGCATGCATGCACACAGAAACAGCGCCCATGGCCCATGCACTCACGCATGCACACACATACACATAGCACTCACAGCTCATGCACACACACAGCACTCACAGCCTATGTACACACAAACACACATATACACACAGCACTCACGGCTCATGCACACACACACAGCACTCACGGCCCATGGATGTACGCAGACAAACACACACACAGAGCACTCACAGCCCATGCACGCACACACAAACAGCGCTCACGGCCCATGCACTCACACATGCACACACACATACACACAGCACTCACAGCTCATGTACACACACAGCACTCACAGCCTATGCACACACAAACACACACACATACACACAGCTCTCACAGCCCATGCACGCACACACTGCACTCAGTACATACACACATCCCTACATGTGCACATTCATGACACACATGCACACACACACTGCACTTAGCACCCCCACATGCACACAGACACTACACTCACACACTGCACTCAGCACACGCATGCACCCCCGCATGTACACACTCACGGCACACACGCACACACTCCTCCCCACTTCCTGTTCCCTCAGAGGAGGGGTGGCCGTCCCAGTCAGTGGGAGCTGCTGAGGAAGTGCATCAGTTACGACAGGGCGCCTGGCCAGGGCTCTGGAGACTTTCAAGCACATCAGCAACGCCTTCTCAGATGAGCCAGGCTGGGACTGAGCAGCTCAGAAGCTCTCAGCCCGCCCAGGGAGGTGGCGAGGACAGGGCCAGGAGCGGCTCCCGGTGCAGGTTGGAACCATGCTCAAAGCTGCTGCCCTGGGCACCCTCCTCGGGGTTGCATTGGGTTTTTGCTTTGCCAGGGCGCGGCATCAGGAGCCATTCCTGCCTGTCCCTTCGCCCTCCTGGATGCTCTGGGGGATTACCCAGTCCACCTTCAGACAAAGCATGAGCCCATCACCTCCAGAGACTGGTGTCATGAACAGAGCACATCACCTGAGAGTCCTTCCTCCACACAGAGCACATCACCTCAGAAGTGTTTCCCTCACACAAGGCAGAGTGCACCACCTTAGAGTCCTTCCCTCACACAGAGCGCATCACCTCCAGAGTCAATCCTTCAGACAGAGCACATCACCTCAGAGTGCTTTCCTCACACAGAGCACAGAGCGCAACACCCTTCACAGTCCTTCTTCCACATAGAGCCCATCACCTCAGAGCCTTTCTCTCATACAGAGCGCATTGCCTCCAGAACCCTTCCCTCACACAGAGTACATCACCTCCAGAGCTCTTCCCTCACACAGAGCGCATCATCTCAGAGTGCTTCCCTCACACAGAGCACATCACCTCCAGAGTCCATCCTTCAGATAGAGCACATCACCTCAGAGTGCTTTCCTCACACAGAGCACAGAGCGCAACACCCTTCACAGTTCTTCTTCCACACAGAGCCCATCACCTCAGAGCCTTTCTCTCATACAGAGCGCATTGCCTCCAGAGCCCTTCCCTCACACAAAGCATATCACCTCAGAGTGCTTCCCTTACACAGAGTGCATTACCTCCAGAACCCTTTATTCACACAGAGTACATCACTTCCAGAGCTCTTCTCTCACACAGAGCACATCACCTCAGAGTGCTTTCCTCACACAGAGCACAGAGCGCAACACCCTTCACAGTCCTTCTTCCACACAGAGCCCGTCACCTCAGAGTCTCTCTCACACAGAGCGCATTGCCTCCAGAGCCCTTCCCTCTCACAGAGTGCATCACCTCAGAGCGCTTCCCTCACACAAAGCGCATCACCTCCAGAGCCCTTCCCTCACACAGAGCGCATCACCTCAGAGTCCCTCCCTCATATAGAGCTCGTCACTTCCAGAGACCAACTGAGCGGCTCACTACCCCACAGCTGGGGATTCTGCTGATCCCTGTCTCTGGGGCACAGACCTGACCTGTCCCCTCTCTTCCACAGTCTGCCCTGCGACATCTGCTGGGGCTGCAGGAGTCACACGTCCCGCCTGGCCATCTGCTTCCTCCTGTGCATTCCCGTGCTTTTGGTGCTGAAGAGGCATCAGGGGCAGTGTCAGCGCCCTCCCTACCTGCAGCCCAGGCTGCAGCCTGCCCTCTCGCTGCTCCTCTGCCTGGGAAGCATCCCCCAGGCCCTGGCATCCGGGGAGCCCGCACACCACGCTTGTCTGGCTGTGCTGAGTCCCGACTCCCACCTGCGTCCCGAAACGCCCATCAGGCAGCCCAGGATGCCCGGCAGGAGCAGCTGTCGGGGCCTTGTCCCGACATGTGACTGACATGTGACTGGAGGCCACACGGCCCGGCTTGGTCTGCAGGGCCGAGCGGCCTCACCCCGACCTGGGACCCTCACACACAGGCTGAGACAGCAAGGAAAGCTGAAAGTGGGTTTCTGGGTGGCGGGAATTTAGCAGGTCAAGTTCACTCAGAAACTGCAACACTGGGACATGTCACACAGGTGCAGGTGGAGGCCCACTGCATCCCCCACTCACAGCACCTGTGGTGGGGATGAACTTGGAGACTGGGCAGCCCTGGCACCAACCAAGTTTCACCTGTCACTGAAACGGAAACTGGACCGGAACCGGGGCTCCCCAGTCAGGGAGCAGAATTGAGCCCGCAGCCCCATGTTTGAGCCCGCAACCCTGAGTGTCTGAGCCCTTGACCCCAAGTAACTGAGCCCGCGACCCTATGACCCCGAGTGTCTGAGCCCGTGACCCCGAGTATCTGAGCCCGTGACCCTGAGTGTCTGAGCTTGCAACCCCGAGTGTCTGAGCCCGTGACCCTGTGACCCTGAGTGTCTGAGCCTGTGACTCCATGACCCCGAGTGTCTGAGCCTGTGACCCTGTGACCCCGAGTGTCTGAGCCTGTGACCCTGAGTGTCTGAGCCAGTGACCCTGAGTGTCTGAGCCAGCGACCCTGTGACCCCGAGTGTCTGAGCCCATGACCCCATGACCCCCAGTGTCTGAGTCCATGACCCCGAGTGTCTGAGCCTGTGACCCCTAGTGTCTGAGCCTGTGACCCTGTGACCCTGAGTGTCTGAGCCCGTGACCCCAAGTGTCGAAGCCAGCGACTCCGAGTGTCTGAGCCTGTGACCCTGTGACCCTGAGTGTCTGAGCCCGTGACCCCGAGTGTCTGAGCCTGTGACCCCGAGTGTCGAAGCCAGCGACCCCGAGTGTCGGAGCCCGCGACCCCGTGACCCTGAGTGTCTGAGCCCGTGACCCTGAATGTCTGAGTCCGTGACCCTGTGACCCCGGGTGTCGGCCTGCAACCACAAGTGTCTGGGCCTGTGACCCCGTGAGCATGACTCCGAGACTCTGGTGGCTCACCCACAGTGGAAGCTGCCACCTGTGCAGTGCCTGTGGGAGGGGCTGGGCTAAAGCCTGCCCAGGGGAACTGGCTCGGCTCAGCCATTGGCTGGGGGCGTGGAACACAGGCCTGAGGGAGCTGTGCTTCCCCAGAGCTGCCACTTGGTGCTTGGGACTGAGGCTCCTGGGATGAGGGCGTCCGCCCCTCACCATCATGTCATCTCGCCCAAACCACGCTGCCGCCCCGTCCCGCGCCTGCAGGAAAGTCCAGGGGGCGGTGGGCGGCCAGGCTGTGGCTACGGCTGACTCGCCCGGGAAATCCCATGAGCGTGGAGTCACCAGTGAGGGCGGTGGGAGGTTTCCTGACTCGCCCTGTCCAGGGCTCACAGGCACCCCAGGAAGGAAGGGGTGACCCCCAGGGGAAGCCCTGTCAAGACGCAAGGGACGACCATGTGGCCGGTGACCGGGGATGGGCACTGCCCAGTGACCGGGAAGGACACTGCCCAGTGACCACTGCTGGCTTCGTTCCTCAGTCCTTGTCCCCCACCCTCTGGCTGCCATTCCAGCATGCGGGAGGGGCGAGCTGTCACCTGCAGGGCCAACCCCGACTCCCACGGGTTCCCCTGAGTCCTCCAGGGCGGAGCCAGGAGAGACCCCTGCGTGTCGCTAGGTGGGGCCCCTACGCCCAAACCCAAAGACCAGAAGAGATTTCCCACCCCACTGTGCAGTGGGGCACCCCCAGCTTCTCCCGGACCGCCCCCAGACTCCAGGGGCGTCTCTTGCTGGGAGAGGCTCGTCAGAGCCCCAGCTCCCCCGGGCCCGTGGGGAGTGGCCCAGCCGTCCATCCTGCCCCGGGCTTGGGGAGAAACGTCCCCCGATATCGACCTGTGGGGAAGCCACAAGGCCCAGCTCACACCAGCGTGTGCCGAGGTGTGGACACCGCCCGCCCTCGCGTCCCAGGCAGCACCCAGAGGAGCTGCTGGGCCCAAAGGCTTCACCCGGTGCCTGCCCGGGCAAGCACGGAGCTGAGGGTAAGAATAGCCTCTGTCACCGGCCAGGGTTGTCCCAAGCAGGAGCCGCGGCCTGCGGTATTTATAGCCGAGGAGGACCGGCACCAGCTGAGGAGCTATTTGTGTCTCGGGATCAAGGACGCAGACGGCACCTCTGTCTGACTCGAGGCCGGGGGAGGGGCAGTGGTGGGGGTGCTGGCCGGGTGCCACCCTGGGCCCCGCCCTGTGCCAGGGGGAGGGGAACACATCCCTGGGACTTTCGGGAAGAGAGGGTGCCTTTCCCGCAAGCGCCCAGCGTCAGGCGGGCAGGCCCGGGCCTGCAGGGCGCCGAGAGGAGCGAGGAGGCACGGCGCTGAGTCAGTGCCCAGTAGGGCCGGCCCGGGGAAGGGCGCCCAGCACTCAGGGACTCTGCGTGTACTTCTCTCCGGTGACTTTGTTTTTTCGCTCTAAGACTCAGACCGGGGGCTGGAGAGACAAGACAGCAGGAGGGTCCCGAGCATTCCACATGCCCTCTGAGCCCCGCCAGGAGCAACGGCCATGTGGGCCCCCACCTGCATCGTGCAGCTGGGGCCTTGTCTCCTCCATCAGAGCTGGGCAGCTCTCCCAGCACTGCGGGGGGGTGGGTAGTGGCCATGGGGGGGGGGCTGTCCACGCTGCTCGCCCACTCACTGGCTGAGGCCCCCCCCAGGACTGGCAGAGAACTGGGCGACAAGCACCTCGAGCCCCCAGGGGTCTTGGTGCCGGCGTCTCGTTGTTTTGGTTTTAGTTTTGGTCAGGGTGGAGGGGAGAGGGTGCGTTGTGAGCTCTTTGCATTGCCTTGTTCTGTGGTGTCAGGGTTGAGCCCAGGACCACGACCAGGCAAGGGGAGGACCGTGGTGGACATGAGCAGGTCGATGCGACATTTACTGGGTGAACATCGACAACCTGGGCATCAATGCCAGGCGCTGCGCCCTGAGTTGCAAGGCCAGAGAGAAAGTCCCGGTTCCCATCCTCAGTCAACTGCTCATAGCGCCTGGCACAGACGCGGGTAATGCGGGCTACAACCATCCTCGTCACAGGAACACGTGCATGCCCTTGTGTGCACACACGACACACACAGGAGCACACAGCACAGCACTCACACACACATGCACAGACATGAAAGCACTGTGCACATGACACACACACACGCACACAGCACCTCACTCACACACATGCACACAGACACGAACGCACATGTGCACACACATAACACATGCACACGGCACAGCACGCACACATGCATGCACAGACATGAATGCACATGTGCACACGTAACACACACCTGTGCACACAGCATAGTACTCACACACACATGCACAGACATGAAAGCACTGTGCACACAACATACACATACGCACACAGCACAGCACTCGCACATGTGCACACACATGTCTGCACACCCATAACACACAGGGCACAGCACACACACATGCAGACATATGCACACACATGACTGTACACACGACACACAGGTGCACACAGCACAGCACTCACACATGCATGCACAGACATGAACGCACAGGTGCACACACATAACACATAATGTGCAGACATGCGCACACACATGTCTGCACACCCATAACACACAGGGCACAGCACACACACGCATGCAGACACGTGCACACATGCCCCAACAGCCTCCTCCTGATGTCCCACGGACTCTGCGCCTCGCCTCTCCCGGCCACGGGCTCTCCCGTGCCCTCTGACCCCCTCGCAGCCGGACACAGCGAGGAGGCGGGGCAGCTGGGGTGCTGACACCCACGCCCAGCCACTGCCCAGCCGCTGCTCCTTCCCCACCATCCTTGGCCACGGGCCTGGCCCTGGGCCAGGAGCTGCGGCTTGGCCTGGCCTGCCCCTCGGTGCACGAGCGCAGCAGGGCCGCGGCAGCGTGGTGGGGCGTGGAAGGCAAGGGTCTGGGCCGGTGTGTGGGGTCGGCCACCGGGAAGGCCGGGACAGGGCAGAGCCGGGCCTCAGCCCAGACCCTGAGGTCCCGTCTGCACCCTCCCCATCACCAAACATCCACGGGCGACTGAGAGGACATGCCCGGGGGGGAGTTGACGGGAACGTGTGGACCTGGGCTCGCCCGCAGGGCCAGTGCCCGTCGGCCCTGGAGACGAAGCCTTAAAGCACAGACGAGAGACAGAAACAGGGCGAGTGTGAGGGCGGGACCGAGCACGCGGGGTGTCCTGACACGCAGGCCTGCGTCCTCCCACAGGTGGACCCCGATTCTTTGCAGCTAGCACACGGCGGCCAGGCAGTGTGGACACGGCCAGTGTCTCGGCCCCGCTGCCTCCCCACCACTGGCTTCCGGGCACCGTGCCATGGCACAGGTGCTGGGGCAGGCGGGAGGGAGCAGGCTGCAGACGAAGCTCTCGGGGCAGGCGCGGGCACTCACCTTGACCTGCGGGTACGACTTCTTGTTCTTCTCACTGGACGCGCCAGGCAGGCCTCCATGGGAAGGGCCTTCACACACGTAACGGAAGCGGAATCCTCGCTGCAAAGGCGGGTGCCAGACACTGAGAGGCAGACTTGCCGAAGGGGCTCCGCGCAGAGGGGCCCCACGGCCCCCGGGTCACCCCAGCCCTGGCCTCAGCCGCCCATCCTGGACATCTAGGCTGACTGGTGCCACCCAGCTTCGAGCCTGATCTTCCAGTGACCAGGGTGCGCCCGGGCCCCCAGACAAGGCTTGTCAGAGAAGGGGTCAAGGGCTGGGCAGATGCTCTGGGTGGGCCATGGGGGGGGGGCTGTAAGCCCCGGAGACAGCAGGGGTCTGGGGGGAGGCTTGGACAGAGATCGCTTTTGGTCCCCGTGTCCAGACTCACAGAGCACCCAAGGCACTGGGCAGGCTCTTGGCTCCCCGCTGGGGTGCTCCTGCTTGCCCAGGGCTGGTGGGTTCCAGGTCCCTGGGGCAGGTCCCCGGAGCCCACAGGCTGGCGCAGCTACGAGGCCGACACACACAGCTCCTGGGGCCCGGCAGCTGGAGCCTGCGGGGAGGGGACTCGGCACTGACCCCTCCTGTGCTCAGGTCAGCCCTGCTGGGCCTTGGCTGTAAGGAGGGACATTCCTAGCGGCGCTTGAGAACGCGCAGCCTCTGGGGTGGGCTGGCCCTGGGGAGAGGGCGAGGAGGGGCAGCAGGGAGATACACGGCACACGACCTGCTGAGCCCAGGATGGGGTGCACGCGTCCCTCCTCCCCAGGAAGGCAGCGAGGTCCACGCGGAGTCTGACGCTTGGCTCTGAACTTCGAGAGGAAAGGGTTGCGGACCCCCGGCCGTCCACCCCAGTGAGTCTGCTTGCCTAAGTGAATCTCAATGCCCTCGAGGGCCCGGCTCCCTCGCTGCCGGGGCCCTGGGGATACTGTGTCCCCTGTCTGGAGCCAGATGGGCACTGGGGCTGGCAGACGCCTGCTCCTGGGTCAGTCTTCTCTGTTCTCTTTAGGGGTCCTGGGACCGGGGCCAGGGGCAACACAGGCACCCGGGTCCACCCACTGCACTATGCCACGAGGCACTTTTTTTGGTTTTGTGTCTTGGGGGCCACACCCGTAGATGCTCAAGGGGTCACTCCTGATTCTGCACCCAGGAGTTACTCCTGGCAGTGCTCGGGGACTGTCTGGGAGGCTGGGATTGAACCCGGGTCTGGTGTGTGTAAGGCATGTGTGTCCCCGCTGTGCTACGGCTCCTGCCCCAAATACAGGCCCCAGGCCTGGGGGTTTGGGTGGGGGGGTGGCTGAGAGGCAGCGGCTTGGCGATTCTGTCCCACTTGCTTGAGTGATGATTTAAAGTGATTCGAACCTTGCAGGGTACACCTCCAAATCCTCCTTATTATTATTATTAAATACCACAATAAACATAAAGACCATAGAACTGAATTAATTTATAAATGATGTAAATCTATAAGTGGTCTGAATTAGTTGTGTGGCAGCCAACTATTTTAGATTTTGCTTCATTAAACTTAACTTGAACTGAGTGGGGGGGGCAGGGGCGGGACCCCAGACCCCACTGCTGCGCAGGGTTGGACAGAGGCAGGAGCCTGGCCGGCAGCCTGCCCACCCTCTATGCACACACCCTTCTGCCCACAACTGACCGCCAAGAGTGGACGCAGGACCACCAGCCCTACCCCGACGGTGGCCTTACCTGCTTGGGCTGCTCCAGGATTTGAAGGTACGGGCCATCTGCTAAGAACAAAACAGACAGAAACCGAAAGAAATGTGAGGCTTCTCAGGCGTGCTATCAGACAGAGCGAGGTGGGTCCAGGACGGGGGTCTCTCACCGGGGTCTCCCTCAGCCCCAGCACGCCCGGGAGCCTCTGGGTGTCCTGGCCGGCTCCATCCTTCCCTCCTGAGGGCTAGCGAGCCTCCCAGTACTTGGCCCCCACACCAGGGGGCTGCGGCTGGCGCGGTCCCCAGGGAACGTCCCCCCCTCGCGGGCATCTCCAGGAAAGAACCCAGCTGGCAGAACGGTCTGGCCAAGGCACGATCTCACTGCGTGAGAGCCAGAAGCTGGTCCCTTTGCCCAGACAGAAACCCGGAAAGGCAAGGCTTCATTTAAGATGGAAACCTGAGGATTTCCTCTTGTCTTTCTACTCTCAGGATGCAAGGATCTTAGCCTAGAGAACCGAGCAGTAGGTAAAGGATGGCGATTTCATGTTACCTAGTCAAGAAATTCCATGGAGAAATGACTGAGTTGGAAGGGAAGGGAACACAAGAAAGAACGGAATGGGGAGGCCAGCTCTGGGCCTGGTGGATTCTCTCGTTCGTGGGAAATACATCCCTGCACAGCCCATTCCAGCTGAAAGTGCCCCCAGTGCGGCTAGAATTCGCCTCCTTAGAAGGAAACACGGCTGGTGGGAGACAGAAGCGTCCGCACTGTGGGAGCAGTCGGGGGCTGGAGACAGGATTCGGGCAGGCGCTTGCCTCACCCAGGCCCAGCTCGGGTTTGACCCTCAGAATCCCACAGGGTCCCCCAAGCAGCGTCAGGCAGATTCCCAAGTGCAGAGCCAGGAGCAACCCCGAGCATGGCCTGGTGAAACCCCCAAACCCAACCAAACCCAACCCCACAAACGCGATCCGGGCATGTGACAAACATACACAGAAAACGCTCCTCTGGGGCCCCAGGCCCGGCCGAGAGCGGGACCAGTTGTTAAACTCCAGGCCGGTGCCCTCAGCCGCCTTAAACTTCTGCTGCCACTTCTGCTGACGGTTCAATTTCCTTCCAATAATGACACACTAAGGGTGGGGGTTCTCTGTGTAAAGGGGCCGTTGTTCCCTCCTGGGAAACACGTATAAGAGCTGAGTCTAGTCACGAAGACCTGACTGTGGTCCGTGTTTCCATGTGATGTTCTTAACCGGGCCCATCCATCCAGGCTCAGAGGACCGGACGGGCCAGCTCTGCTTCCGCCTCAGAGGGTCGGGTGCCACCCGCCACTGCCAAGCACAGCCTAGGCGACCCATGACGCTTCCCAGCATGACACGACCAACGGCTCCTGCGGCACGCGGAACAGACCACGGACCCTGGGCGCAGACACCCCAGGGAGCATCGGGCTGGCCGAGCCCCAGACGTTCCCAGCCAGGAAGGCCGAGCCGCCTCACAGGAACAGAGCTCCTGGCCACCTTCTGTCTCGGGGCCCCGGCTGGGGGCACATGGCTGGGCTTCCTCAGGCCGAGGAGCATGCTCAAGTCACAGGAAATAGACGCCGCTGAGACCTTTGCATCACAGGAAGCTCAAGGGGGCTCAAGCTGGGCTCAACTCTGAAACCTGAGTTACAGCCACACTCACACACACACACTCGCACACACATACACACTCACGCACACATGCACACACTCACATACACACAGTTACCTACACACTCACATACTCACGCACACATGCACACACTCACACACACATGCATACACTCACATACACACATGCACACACACTCACATACACATGCACACACACAAACACACACAGACACACACTCACATACACACTCATGCACACACACTCTCACACACAAACACAACTCACACACACATTCATGCACACAGACACAGACACACACTCACATACACACACAGACACGCACATTCACGCACATACTCACACATACAGACACACACTCACATACACAATCACACATGGACACTCATACACACACTCACATAAACTACACACACCCGTCACACATACATACATACAAACACACACACATACACACACATACACCCATACAAATTCATATACAAATACACACACTGGCACACACGCAAATACATACACTCACACACTCATAGACACAAACACACACATACACACTCACACACTCACACCCCACGCCAGGCTCCTAAGGCTCTGAGGGGGAGCGAGGGAGACCCACCCCCTCCAGGCCATCTCTCCCTCCAGTTCTCCAGGACTAATAGATCCGACAGCAGCAAACTGGGCTGGAGTCACACACAGCGAGAGGCGCTTGCTCGCACCCGGCTGGGCCAGTTCCAGAGCCCAGGGGTCCTGGGAGTGCCTGAGGAGAGATTCCTGAGTTCGGAGCCGCACCCGAAGCAGGAGCAGACGGTCACTCTGACCTGAAAGGCCCCGAGGGCGGTCATGGCTCCAGACGTGGGAAGCAGCCCCGTGTCCAGGCTCGGAGACTCTGTGCCCCCGTGGCCAGCACCCCACAGCACGGCCCCCGGCAAGGCAGAGCCGCAGGCCCTGGGCCCTGGCCGTGACTCAGTGAGCCCAGGTGACTGGTGCCCGCGGGCTGGCCAGGAAGGAGCTGGGAGGACACTGCTGGCCACTCCTGTGCCACCCCATGGGACGGTGGGTCTGGGAGGGTGCCCCCAGCTGTTGAGTATCTGAGGGGGAGCCCCTGGAGCTGGCGGCATGCCAGCCAGGAGCCAGGTGGAAGCCCCTTCCCATCTCGGCCTGCGGCCTGATGCCTCCCTGCCAGCGGACAGAGCCTCACCTGTGGGCAGCGCCATCTCGGCCGGGTACAGCTCCGGGTGGAAGAAGGCCGGGTTCAGAGGCTCCATGGGGAAGATCTGTGGAGACACGGGCCCATTCCAGTCCCTGCGTCCAGCATCTCAAGAACGCCGAAGCCTCGAGCTCTGCCGGAAACAGCGTCTGGGCCAAGGGCTGCTTCCAGGCGCACGCCTGGGGGGCCGCCCCTCCCCCACCCCTGCCTCCCTCCCCTGGGGGGGGGGGGGGACGCGCACTCGATACCCCAGTGAAGGTTCACAGCTGCGCCTGGGAACAAGCAGGGGCACGTGGGCTCAGAGCTGGGGCCTCAGGCGCACATGGGGGGGCTCAGACGATTCTGTCCTTGCCGGGGGGGGGGGGGGGCAGCAGCTGGACAGCCAGCGATGCCCCCCCTCACCTCTGATGCAGAAACACGGGGTGGGGGGGAAGGGGGCGGGAGGCAAGGACGCTTCCTGGGAGTGAGCTGAGGGGCCTGAGGGCGGGGAGGCCCCCGAGGGTGTGGCCAGGCTTGGGCAGGACTTCGGATGCAGTCCTGCACCCGCAGTGAGGCTCCTGGCAGACGGGCCGCTGGGTGGACGCCCCTACCAAGTTGGCCCGGAGACTCACGGCAGGTGGGAGAGGAACCAGCGTGTCTGGGCGAGGAGGTGGGCGGGTGTGACCCAGGAGTCTGCTGGGGCCTTTCTTCCCCAGGGGGGGACCCCGTCCCACATGAGGCCTGGAGGGCGAGTTCCCGCACACACCCAGCAATAACCATTAGGCCACCTGCCAGCCCGGTGTGCTGCCTGGTAGAACCCTCCCCCGCCAAGAAAATGCCAAGCCAGTAAGGCCATAGGAGGTGGGGGAACGGCCACACGGGGCTGCAGGGCTGGTGGCAGGGAGACGGGGTCCCCGCACACGGGATGGAGCCCCCCGGAGAGCGAGTGCAGGTGGGCGAGCAGAGGCCGTGGGCACCTCGGGCACCGGTCCGGGCTGTGGTCAGGGCGGCTCGGGAGCATTTCCGGGGGAGGTGGGGCTACCTAGGCTGGGGACCTCAGCGGCATCCCTTTTGGTTTCACTTTCCCCGGCCTCACATATGCAAATCTGGGAAGTCCGGGGTGTTTTCCGGTAGCCCTGGGGCCAGCCCTGTCTCCCCTCTGTGTCTGACCAAACCCCAGAGCCAGGACTCGCCAGGGCCGTCCTCCCCTGGCCTGGACCCCCCACCCCCACCCCCCAGGCCCTGGGCTCCAGACACTTCCCAGAAGTGGCTGAGGCTGCAGAGGGGCGGGCTAGGCTTCCCAGCCCCGCAAGCCCACCCCCCAGCACAGCACAGGGCCGCCCCTTCAAGCCAACAAGATCGTTCTGCTTTAAAGTTGTTAGTGCCGGGGCTGGAGCACTAGCACAGTGGGGAGGGCAGCTGCCTCGCACACGGCCCACCTGGGTCTGCTGACCCACGTGCTCCCGAGCCCCACTGGGAGTGATCCCTTGAGCACAAGGCTGGGAGTCGACCGGGAGCACAGCCGGGCGTGGCTCAGGACTCAAAACCCAAAACATCCAAACCCAGACCAAACGGCTCTTGTCGCCGTGGGCGCCCTCCGCTGGGGGTGGCCTTCCACGGACTGGGCAGCTGAGCTGGGAGGCCCCGGCAGCCACAGGGCCCGGCTGCTTCCAGGCCGCGCACATGGGGTGAGACCTCAGCGAAGGGGTGGCCACGCGGCGGCGGCACAGTGACCCGGTAGCCACGCCTGAGTGCCCAGGGCTCACGGCAGGCGGGAGAGGAGGAGGCGTCTCTTGGCAGACACAGACGCTGCGCGAACCGCGGGCATCATGCACACACGCAGACCAGGAGCTCAGCCCCACAAGCAGTCCCGCCAGGGACCAGACCCTGGCGCCGGAGTGGGGGTCTCAGGCGCGCGGCGTGAGGGTCCTCCAGGGAGGCTGGAGCCGAGTCTGACGTCAGGGCCCTGCCAGGCCCAGGGGAGACACGGGGCTAGTCCAGAGGGAAGGGGGCCCAGACACAGGCGCCTGCAGGTCCCCTCGGCCCCTCTGGGCTCTGCAGGGCTTGGGAGGCGGGGCTTACCGGCTCGGTCACCCTGACGTACGGGTCGTCCTCTGCCATCCTGGCGTCTGTCAAAACAGAAAGGACAGCGGGGTGAGCCAGGAGCCCACACACCCCGCGGAGCCCGGGCCCGAGGATGGCTCCTCTCTGGCATCTGGGTCCTCGCGTAACTTGGGAGCTGTCGCTGCCGCCTCAGCCCAGCCTGAGCCTCTCCACGGGGCTTGGATGCCACTGTGGCCACTGCCACCCGCACGTCCAGGAGTGGACGCTCAGTCCCTCTCAGCATTGCTCCTTCCAGGGACCGTGTCCACACGTGTCCACATGTGTCCTGCCTGGGGCTGGCTGTCCTGCCCTGGTTGGGGGGGATGGAGGGGCAGTGTCGCCACTTCCTGCCCCTGGGCGCCAGCCTGCGGGAGGGGCCTGCGTGAAGGATGCTGCCCCCGATGCTATCAGCCACCAGCGAGCCGCCCTGGCAAGACCCACAGGTCAGATAAGCAGCTGCCCTCACGGCCCCCAGGAAACACCCGCGGGCTTCAAAGTTCATCTCTCTTACATTTCCTGAGATGGAATTTAGATCACACACACACAGGAGATTTTTAAAAAACACTGAAAGCAAATATTAATTCCTGAGATGAAACCTGTTTCAGAAAGACTTTAGATCACCGTGGCCCCGAGGCCGGGCAGAGAATGCGGCTGTTGAGTCCTGTGTCTCGGGGCTACCCTGGCAGCACAGGATTGGACCCCGGACCTCATGCATGCCAGGCAGCAGGTGTCCATGTGGCCTGTGTGGGCCTCTGGGAGGTGACAGGACGCACTCGTGGATGCATGTCCCGGGCTCCGGCTTGGCCGCCTTGTTTTGGTGACAGCTGTGGAGCCTTCCGGGCCGAGGGTGGACAGGGCCACGCCTGTGCTCACTATGCAGGGCCCAGGGTCACTCTGTCCTTCCCGCGGGGAGGCCGGGCGCTCAAGCAGCAGTGTCCATCCAGCAGCGCCTGACACGAGGCCTGGGCCAGGGAGGGACTCAGGGTCTCTGTGGGCAGCCAGGCAGCCATCTGGTCCACAGGAGACCCCCGCTCTGAGCTGCGCAGGGGGCAGCATCCTCGGCGAATGGACATCCCTTCTCAGCGCTGTCCATGGGGCCAGAGCCAGGGCGCTACGTGGACGTGACGTTTGCCCATGGAGCCGCGTGGGTCTCAGAGACGGTGTCGCCCAAGCAAGCCACTGAAGCGCGTGGCCCGAAGTGACGCCACGAGCACCGGCCTGGCACCCATGGGGGCCTCACCTGCCAGGGCTGCTCTGGGCCTGAGGGTCCCCGCACCCTCCCCTGGCAGAGAGGGGCGCACAGAGCTGCCCTGCTCTTGCCTCTACAGACAGACAGGGCTGAGCGCCCTCAATTCAGAGCAGTGTGTATGTGTGTGTGCACACGTGCGTGTGTGTGTGCATGTGTATGCATGTACACGTGCATGTGTGCTTAGGTGCACACACGGGTGTACACATGCATGCATGTATGTGTGCATGTGTGCGCGCATGTAGGTGTGTGCACATGTGTGTGTATGTGCACATGCACTCAAATTCAGGACTTTGGCAAGCTACCGAGAGTATCTCACCCACACGGCAAAGCCTGGCAAGCTCCCCGGGACGTATTCGATATGCCAAACACAGTAACAACAAGTCTCACAATGGAGACGTTACTGGGCCCGCTCGAGCAAATCGATGAACAATGGGAGGACAGTACTACAGTGCAAAAGAGAAACAGGTCCAAGAGCTGCCCGGCCGCGCCCCCTAATTAAACCCGGACCAGGTCAGTCCCAGGGTGACACTCAGGCCGCCCTCACAGCCAGCAGCTTCCTGAGGCTGTCCCCAAAAACTAGTGGCAGGGGGCCAGGGGCCGGGTACCGGGTCTAGCCCACTGTGACCTCGAGCCCCGCCCCGATCCCAGCACCCAGTGGGGCTGGAGGGTGTCACTCCGGAGCACAGAAGGGAGGGTGGGGACAGCCAGGGAGGGAGGCTGGGGAGCTCCCACCGCTGGCCGTACGGGGTACAGGGACAAGGGGCTGGCGGAGGCGGAGGCTGCATGCGGGTGGGGAGGGGGCGTCTCTCCACGGGAGACCAGGAGGTGGAGTGGCCTCTCGGGGGATGTGGTGCCACCTGCCCAGTGCAGCCCAGCCCCCTGCTGGGACCCAGGGCAGGACAGCCTGCAGACCGGGGCTCTCAGGATGGGCCGTCCACACCTGCTGTGCCCATCGCATAACTGGATCTGTGTTTCGGGCACACCCAGCTGTGCCTGGGGCTCACCCTGGCGAGGCTTGGGGACATCTGGGATGGAACTGGGGTCGGTTGCGTGCAAGGCCAGTGCCCTCCCTGCTGTGCTACTGCTCCGGTCCCTCGTTTCAACCGATGCCTGGATGCTGGAAATCACTATTCTATTTTTTTTTCTTTTTGGATCACACCCGGCGATGCTCAGGGGTTACTCCTGGCTCATGCACTCAGGAATCACCCCTGGCGGTGCTCAGGGGACCATATGGGATGCTGGGAATCGAACCCGGGTAGGCTGCGTGCAAGGCAAACGCCCTACCCACTGTGCTATCACTCCAGCCCTGGAAATGACTATTCTACAGAAAAGAGATGTCCCGGGCTGGGCTGAGCTGCAGTCTCACTGCGCCAGGGGCTGCTGGGGCTGGGGCAGCCGGGGCGAGGCCGCTCAGCCCTGCTCTGAGTGTCTGTGCCAGCCAGTGGATTCAGGGACTTTGCTCTCAAGAGCTGATTTCCCAGAGTTTATATAAAAGGGCCTCTGGGCGGGGGGGTCTTGGGACCGGGCGGTGCCAGAGACCCAGTCGGGACCATGGGCACTTGGCCAGGCCCTCGAGTTACCTCCCAGAGCTTCGGACGCTTTCGCTAAAGATGCCAGCCCTGCACATCCACCGCACAGCCCGGGCATGAACCTTTCTAGGGGGATGCGCCGGCCACCTGCCCCCCAGGACCGCTGCAGGTGCCAACTGGACGCTCCTGGCCCGAGCCAGCGAGCAAGCGTGTCTGTGGAGACGCAGTGCCCGCCTGCCTAGCCCTGGGGTCCGGCACATGAGCAAGAGGCAGGAGGGGCAGGCACAGGCCTAGCTCCGGCGGCTGCGTCTGGTGTGTCTGTCCCCTGCAGGCTAGCTGGAGGAGGAGGAGACCGGGGCAGGCCCTGGAAGCCCATCCCACAGGAATGATGCAAGTACAGCACAAGGGGGTCTGCCCTGGCCCGCCTCACGGCCAGGGGAGCAGGAACCACCACCGGCACCTGCCCTGCACGGGACTGACCTGTCCCCACAATGCTGGCCTGGGCTGACCCGTCCCCACACTGCACGGGGCTGACCTGTCCCCACACTGCTGGCCTGGGCTGACCTGTCCCCACACTGCTGGCCAGGCCACGGGCTTCAGCATTTGTGCGGGGAGGACATCCCTGCAACCATTTCCTTCTATGCCTGAATCCTGGGACCTGTCCACCCGTCAGGGCAAGGCCTGGTCCCTACCCCAGGGAGTAGCCCAGGCAGCGGGCATTGGAGGCCATGAGCAGACCCGGAAGACAGTCCTGCTGGAGGGACAGGTTCCTTAGTAGCCTGCAGAAAGAACCCCAGGTGCCCGGCCATGGACAGGTGGATGCTGAGTCCTTCCGGCCATCACACACTTCCCGTTCCCACACTTCCCCTTCCCTCAGGAGGCCATTGGGGTCCCCGCCCACGGGCCTAGAATCAGTGAGGGGCCATCAGAGCCAGGTGGTGTGGGGCTGGCCTTGGCACCTGCATCCCTCCAGCCCCTCGGTCCCTCCTCTGGACAGCGGGCGAATGAAGGAGTGACGGGAAAGAGCTGGGTGGCCACAGGCTGAGGAAGGCGGGTGCCACGCCCTTGGCCAAGATCAGAACCACACTCCCGCCCGTGACCTTGACGGGTTGGTGAGAAGGCAAATATCAACTCTGAAGTGTGTAGACACACACCCGGCAGCCGGGTCCGGTGCTGTAGCCCCTGTGGGCATGAGCGGTGCTGTGTGCTACTGTGTGCTGGTATGGGGTGTGCGTTGGTGTGTATTGGTGTGTGGTGTGTGGAGTGTGTGCTGGTGTTGGGTGTGTGTTGGTGTGTGCTCGTGTGGGGTGTGAGCGGTTGCTGTGTGCTGGCTGGGGTGTGAGCGGGACCCTTCCAGGCTGACCCCCAGCACCCTGCAGAGGTGGCAAGAGGGGGCCCTGCTAGGAGGGGCCGGGGGCTGGGCCCCTTTCCCTCTGCCCACAGGCCAGCACTCAGGCTGGGACAGAGGCTCCTTCCTGCCGAGGGAGCGGCCCAAAAGCTTAACCTCAGATACGCGGGAGCCTGCGCGGACCAAGGGCAGGGGGTCTGGGTGGGGAAGAAGGAAGCCCACTGGCGCGGCCGGGGGGACCAGCTCCTAGCCTGCTGCCCCTCGAGACCCCCCGGCACCTCCTGAGTGCACAGGCCAGGACCTGCCCACTCGCCCCGACGGCCAGCAGTGGTTTCTTGAGGGAAAACAAGGGAGGTGAGCTCCAGGCGGGCAGGCGGATGGGGGACACGACGGCTGACCCAGAAGTAGTCAAGGAGACACGGGCTGTGGCAGACCCGGGTGGACATGGCCAGTGTGGAGCCACCCGCCCGGCTCCTGCGTGCTTGTGGTGGTGGACCAGTCCCCCACGGCGACAAGGCCCCCCCATCACAGGGGAGAAAGTGACCCACCATCACAGGGGAGAAAGTGACCCAGAGAGGCCAGGGGCCGGCCGGCCTGGCTGGCAGCTGCAGACCTGTTCTCAGGAATGCTCCGGAGACACAGATGACACGGCAACACACAGCCGTGGGCGCCCAGGGGGCTGATGGGGACTCGGAGGACCGGAGGCGGGGGGAGTGGGGCGCGAGTGGCCTCGCAGGGGGCAGCAGAAGCGGCTGAGAGGAAGGAGCCCAGGACAGGCACAGACTCGCCCTCCCGCTCAGCTTCCGCGGGACAGGCAGAAGGCAGCCTGGGCCCCACGGGGAGGGACGCTGCGGCAGGCGGGCGGTCCGGTAAGCGGGACAGCTCTGCAGCCAGCCAAGC